AAAGAGGCAGAACAATAGAGTACTGTAGTTGGTATGGTTTGGGAACTTTGGTGTATCTGTCCTGATCTGCTTGAACACATCTAATAAGTTTATAACTCAGCTAACTTGGGGAAATTATGCTTTTGGATATGCAGGAGTTAAAAATGGAGGGCTCTGAAGTCCAGTTGTTGCCACTCTGTGAACACAGCATCTTATGAAACACCTGTGTGGAAGGTGAACTACTGCACTGTGAGATCCAGAATTTCTGTGTTGTTCTGGTCGTGTTGTGTTGTACCACATGGCAAACCCTGGTGCTACCTTTGCTGTCCCAGCCTGGCCACCTCATGTCACTGGTGATGCAGCCCCAGAGACCTGCACATCACCCTTACACCTGCAGGTGCTGAGCAGAGCACTTCTGGGAAGGTTGGGGCAGGGTTGTGTGCTGTACTGGATAAAGAGGTATCATCTTACAGCTCTCTCTGAAGCCAAACATAACTAACTGTTAAAAAGAACACAAGCTCATCAGATGTTAAATGGCAGAACAGCTGTGGGTGTCATAGCTTGTGGCTTTCAGCTGAACATATGGCATAAAATGGTGTGGCTGACTCAAAAAATCATTTTAAAATATTGACACTGCCTTTGATCTTTCTTTTTTTAGTCAGTGAATTTTGTCAATTTTGAGTAGCTCTACTTTGGTTGGAGAAAAATGGAAATAACTAGATTCTTTGTTTGTGTTTTATACTAAATAAAACATTGCTTTCTTATTTTAGGAAAGTTCTCTCCTTTTTTCCAGGCCCTTGCCACTTCAGAAACTGTAAAGATTCTAGTCACTGACAAAACTATTTCATTGTGAAAATGCTTATAGTGTTAGAAAATAAACAACCAGAAGAATGCAGCTTATTAGAGATCCTTTTAACCAACATTTAATTAATGCTGTCTTCTGAAGTAGGAATGAAAACCTTCTTCTGAAAGAAAGAATACCTTCAGCACAGGCAGACTTCTTGGCTCTGATATGTGAGAACACACAGCCTTTGTTGTGTCAGGAGAGTTGTTCCTGCATTAGTGCCCGAGGGTAGCTCTTAGAGAGTCTGGTGATCCATCAAAAAAAATCTAAAAAAGAGAGGGGTTGCAAAATTAAAAAAAAACATTAAGTAGACTCAATACACAAGCAGCAGGGCATTGAAAGTTACTAGAATTCAGAAATAAACTCATTTTTATTAGTCCAAATGTCTGCAATTTAGGGATCTCTTAGAACTAATGTATCATAATGATTGTCATCTGTAGTAATAAACTTTTCTAATATGTGTAAGTCTTTCTCAATAGATGGCCCCTGATTTTTTTTTTCTCTTTGGGAAAGGAAGAGGGAGGGCAAAGACTGTGGGTGTTGTGGAGGGGGGATTTGGTTTGCATTAAGCATGCTACAAACACAGAATTGAAAAATTTTGAGGCAATTTGGCACCAGATGTTCTTCAGCAGCAAGGCAGGGGCTTTTCTGCTAATATACCACAACTATTTGGACATTGGCTTTAGACTTTAAAATTTGGAATTCTTCTCTTTAAATTCAGTAAGATTACGAAGGAGTACCAAAAATGGTACCTAATAAGTTCAGTTCTCTGGAAATTAGATTGTTAAATATAGAGAAATTGGTAGGTTCCTCATAGTTAACATAAGCTGTGTTTGAAGCCAGGAATATTGCCTCACCTGTATGAATATTTTTAAGAATACTTTGTTCCTGAAGCAAGTAAACATCCTTTACATCTCTAGAGCAAGAAGGATGATCCATTTCAAAGTTTGGAAAGAAGAGAGCATCAGATATGAGAGAAGGGGATAAATAGAGTAGAAGAGAAATAACATGCTGTATAACATAATTTTACAAGGACTCTTACAACAAGGACTCTTACAACAAGGTTCTTAAAAGAGGCCCTCTAGATGTAATAGCAACTTGACAAGTAAATCTAGGTCTTTTTTAAAAACTGACTTTTTAACATAGTATAAATATTTTTTAGCTGTTTGCTTCATACCAATAGAAATCCAGTGGATATATGAATTGATCTTACATCTTGTCTTCTTGAAGGTGAGAAACTCCAAAGCTTTTTTTCCCAGGGTTATGATACCTATTAGATGATTCAAGAGACAAATTGGAGTGAAGGCCAAAAGTATAAGATTTGGCATATAAAAGGTGGGAAAGATAATTTCTAATCTGTTTGTTTTGAACTATTCTATGTTCTGTGCCTTTGCAGCTGGTCCTCTGTTATTCTTTTCAGCCTTCCTGTAGATCATCCTTTAACATTCATAAATCTTATTTTAGTGAGTCTTGGTTTCCTGTTAATCTACTACCTGAACAAACTACTGGAACATCCGTGGTGAAAGAATCAATCTGTTCTGCTACATCCTGAATACTGTATGTGCATGGTAACCTCAAGGTTATTTTAGCAGCATAAGTGCTAAAGAGCATCTACTCAAACTACCTCCATCCCTCACTAAAGAGGTAATTATTTTTGTAAGAACTGTGCCAGACACTGTATTCTCATACTAAATTAGAGACTGGCAGTTGATCTTATTTTTTATTATTTTATATACCCTTTATACCTATCCAGGTATATCTCAGTTACTGTGTTGTCCTACAGTGACTGAAACAAAAATGTGGAAGACCAGGTGTTCAACTTGCATACAGTTACTTAGTTGCAGTTAATGATGTGTATGTGCTGTTTTTTAAAATGCTCTGATATGATGCTGTTTGAGGCTGTAAACTTTTAAAAATTGAATTAGTGGGTCAAGGTTGAAAATTGAGATGATGACTATAATTTACAAGGCTGTAATGTAAACACTTACAACTGTGAACTGTAGATCCAGAGTAATTTTGTGAGCTGTGCCTGTGGGCCTCATTCAGTGGGACCTGACTTTCAGAGACCCCATGATTTTGTTTGATTCTTACAACATGGGCCTTGCTGTACAGGATCTGGTGGTTTTCCCCACATTGTTAAATCTTTTTTCCTCCTTTATTTTGCAAACCAGCAGGATGCTGTTATCTTTTTCCTTTTCACACCAGAGGAGGTGCTTATTCTAAAGAGGCATAACTTTTCCCCTAACCCCTACAATGCTTATTCTGAGCATGGCTAATCTCATAAGAGGGTACAGGGCCTGATTTCTAATCAGTTTTGCACTGGAAAAGTAGAATTAACTGTATGGAGTACCTCCAAGACTGTGGTAGGGAATGATCAGTACTGTCAGTTCCCTGGATTTTGGGAAAGGCAGAAGGGAGAGCTCTCTGTTTCCAAGAAACTACTACCTAGACTATAGAATTCATAGAAATTTTGCCCAAAATAAAATACGTATAAATAAACCTAAAGAAGTCATTCTCTCTTCCCCCTTTGTACAGCAACATCCCTTCAAGTGCCTGTTGCAGGAAAATAAATTCCATATGTTAAGAATGGGAAACATCCCACTTCAACTGCCAAATTCCTTTGATGACTTTGAAAATGTTCTTCTTGGAAGTCCCTCCTCTTTGTTTCCTATATGGGTAGGTGCATTGGAACTGTTCTTTCCGTGCTGTGTTGTTTGTTCCTCTCAGAAATTCCTCGGCTTCGCTTCACTCACATTGAGAGCAGTCTTCTGTCAGAGAGCTTGGTTGCAGGCAAGGAGCAGCAAACATGTTAAAGGCAAGCTGGCCAATGCCAGCTTGATGGTTATCCTTAACACTGGTGCCTAGAATTAGTCTGCCATGACCAAATCACCGTGTCTTCTTTAGACCTTTCAAGTTTCCACTTGGATGGGCAACAAGCTACAGCTCTGCTTATTGCAGGAGCTTGTTCCTCTTAGGTGGACCTGCACCTTTTCCCATTCAAGTTTGTAATCTGAATAGAACTTAGAAATTTTCCAAAACCAAGCTGTCCTTGTCTGTGGCCCAGTGGGAGTTACTGGGAATGGCTTAACTGAGGTGCCCTTAACTTCACATATGTCATTCCCAGGCATGTGACTGTTACCTAACCAGCAGCAATGAATGTTTTAGTGTGCCCAAATAACACAGCTCCATATACTGTGCTCATTACTAAAACATAAAACTTAGCAGTGTCCTTGCCACACTGGAAGTGCTCTAAGATTTATGTCACCAGCGCCTCATTAAGAAACCTCTAAACACTGCTTTTCACTTAGCAAAGATGGTTTAACAAGTCCACAGTACACTGAAGAGAAGTCTCTCCTTTGGGTAGGAACTATCTGCCAGTCACAACTGGCATTTCCAGCAGTACCACCCCATCTCATCAGGACAAGGAAGGAGGGAGAGCAGGTGGTTTTCTGAGGGCAGATCCAGTTTTAACCCCCTCACAAGCCATATTCGCCATAATACTTACTAAATGTTGGCATAGAGCATTTTGGTAAGGATGTGGTTGATGTATTGGAGGTAGAAGTAAGGAATGTAAGGAATTTCAGATGCATTTAAACCCAAGGAATAGCATTTTGTCTAAAATGATAAACTAATTTTCAAGTTGGGACAGTAGGGAGTGCAGAGGAGGAGGAGGTACCGTACCCAGGCTGAGCAAGAACAGTTCTGAGGGTTTGTGCCTTGGAGGTTCATAGCTGCAGAGCTCTCAGTGTTAGGGACCTCCTAACATTTGAGCCCCACCTCATTCACTGCATCTTCCTTTTACCATATTAGTTGTTTCTGGTGCTGTGGAGAGCTCCTCATGGCAGTGGCACCTCTCCTGTGTCCATCTGGCACACTTGATCCCGCGTGTCCTGGCACTCAGGTAACAGATGAACACGGAACATCTGAGTGGCCATTATTATGCTGCTGCTTTCCAGCCGTGCTATCGCTGTGCCACTTTTAATAATTCAGAAGTGATGTAGAGGAGGGGGAGTTAAAGGGCTGCAGCAATCTTTGTTTCTCTCTGTAGAGTGTGATTCCTCCTTGGTGGCTCTGTAGTTACCAGGGAAACAAGAGAGGGATGGCAGAGCACCGCGGGGCTGGAGGGGGACCTGGGGGTCGGCTCCCTGGCAGCTGCACATCTGCACCAGGGGGGAAATGAGGGCTTGCCTTTGCTTGGTTTGGTGCCCTTCCCCCTCTTTTCCTCAATGGTTTTCTGAAATTTAATGGTTACATAGGTGATGCTCCCCAGCGTTGGTGTATTTGTTCAAGATCCTTTTTATCATTGATTCTAGTAAAAATATGCAGTGTCCAAAAATGAGCATTACTGGTGGTTTTGAGGAGTTGGATGATCAAAAAATCTTTCTCTGAAATTAACTGGAGCCTGTTTATACACAGACTGTCACTACTGAGAGGCTTTTTAATGTGTTAGAAATGCTTTGGCACTTCAGGGAATAGGTTTGCTGGAAAGTAATAAGGACCACTTCAGTAATATTTACTCAGTGCAGCATTCTCTGATTTGATAAAGGTCGAATTTCATTTTTAGTAATTAGCATATCTGTCCTAATCACCTCCTGCTCTAGCTGTACTGACCTGAATAATGCCAGTCTCAGAAGCTCTGGGGAGAGAGGCAGGTGAGAGCAGGGGAGCAGCCCCTGCACCTCGGGGTTCTCACTGTGGCTCTGATCCTTGCAGGCAGGGGGAGGTGGGTGGGCAGCTGTGTTTACTGCACTGCAAATATTTAGGGCTGGATCCATCTTTCAGCTGCCTAATCTACTGGCATTAGCTGTGCTGTTTGTTCCATACCTGTGTTAGGTGCTTAGATTTTCAGCAATTATGCTGAAGTAGTTCTGAGAGGATGACTTAAAAACCTTTCCTTATGGATCTCGGTGGAACTTGGTGATTGATTTGAGATGGGCTGCTGAGCTCTTCTCTAACTACAGGCAGAAAAACTCTGTGCAATTTTATATCCCTCTTTTCAATGATAGACTAGATAAGGGGAAACAAGATTTTCTGTAACAAGTTTGTTTGCAGCTCCCTGGCAACTGTTTGCTTGATTGCTTCAGAATGGAACCAACAGAATAAAATACCATATAAACATGCTCTGCTTTTGAATTTCATGGCAAATGAAAACTGTTTTTCCACACCAGAGACTTCTTTTGAAGTCTGAACTCAACAGATTTGTCACTATGGAATGAGCCCTGAGGTTTCATTTCCTTGTGCCCACTTTTTGCACACAAGTGAGGTATTCCTATGTAGTCAACTTGAACTTTAACCGAATTTATGAGCACGTAATGAGGTTGATTTTCCAGTTATCTTTGTGAAACCTTCAGAAATGGTTCGCAGACCTCTTGCCCTCCATTTGGCTCCCTAGAGGCTGCAAATTCAAGGTTCAAAACCTTAAATATGGAGTATATCAGCTTCAGATTTGTAATCCATAAAGCAGAGTGAAGACAAAATACTGTGTATGTGCTAGAAAGAGCTTAACCATAAAGCTCAGTATATTTCTTCCAAAATGTCAGATACTGAAATTTAATTGCTGACATTTTAAAACTGATAAAAAAAAAACCAGCAAACAAAGCCAAAAAACCCCTCACCAGAGTAAAATAATACATTTGGGCATCAGAAGTGATGTTTAGGAAGCCATTCCCTGTACAGTTTCTGCAACTGCCCTTGTGTATTAAGAAGGAATGCTACTGTGGTACACTCACAGTTCAGAGATTTTTTCTTCTCGTTTTCTTCATTTTCGTTCCTCAGTTTTTTTGTTTGGGTGGTTGTTTGGGTTTTTTTAAATCACCTTTTGGAGTAGTAGATGTTGATAGCAAGATAAATTACATTAAAACAATAGTTCAAGATGGAGTTCTCTGTTTCCTCTAGGTATGGCACTTCTGGGCTTAGCTTTGGTTCTCTCTGAATCTGACATGTTAAGTGTGCTCTTGTTAGTTGAAAAATATCTTCAATATAAACTGCAAATTGCATGTACAAAATGAAATAGTTGTCTCTTATACATGTTCATCTACAGCAGCTGTTTTTCAGTTTCAGTTAAGACACAAAATGGTACCATGCAGAGTGACTCTTATCATTGCTGCTTTTTCCAAAGTTAAAAATGCACTAAATTATTGCCACTGAAGTCAGGAGAGGTCTTTGAATTCATAAAGCATCTATTGAGTGTATGATGTCATTTTTATGAAGTCATTCTTTGATTAGAATTGCAGTTTAGAAAAAACTGACTTCTGCTGTAAGGATAGCAAAATTGTTGTTAAATCCTGGTCTTGCGCAGTGATTTGGATTAATTTCCTGTTCTATGATGCTGCAGTGAATGGCTTCTTTATCCCCAAACTACAGGAAACTGCTCAGTGTTTTGTATGAGGATCTGCAAGTGTGTGTGTTCCAGGGAGTTGACATTTAAGGACACATCTCCCCTCTGCCCCAGCAGCTGATGTGCAATGGAAACATTGCAAGCTCTGGAAGAGAAGCAGTTCATGTAAACTGCACTGTGCAGGCATGGAGCTGGGCAGGATTGCTTGTGTAACCCTGGCTCAGGTTTGGGTGATCCTGGTGCACAGCAGTGGTGTGATTGCTGTGTGTCTGGAGTAGAAAATGCCAGCTTTATTGGTTTTGTAGTTGTTCAGTTTTTCGCTGAAAATTCATCCCTGAATCTTTCAGTCGATGGATGTGTAATTAAAAAGATATATTTGAATAAGACTGAAATTTTGTAGTCTAAAAAAATGTTGCAAGAATACTTCAACAGAACAGCTTCAGTAATGGTTTTGCTTTTGCTTTCTCATCCCCTGGGATATGAAGCAGTACATTTAATAAGACTCTAAACATCTAATAAAACATAATATGCTGCTTCCTAACCCAGCAGTTCTAAGCTCAGAGGCTGATTCTGCTGGTACTCATTGCTCAGGTGTGGGCAGAGAGGATCTGTAGAAATTGGCTCCAGGGTGCCAGGAGGTGCATGCTAGGACTGGTTAATCTTTTGACTGTTGGCTTTCTCCTTTGTTTGACACTTCTTCTTTCCCCCCAAAAGAGGCTAGAAAGTATGATGGATGTTTCTCCCTCCAAAGGACATACTAAACCTAAGCTTCCTAGTCTTACTGTAATTGTGTCTAAGTTGTCCCCTTTTTACATGAAACAGGTCAACTGAAACAATATTTACTTGAATAATTTGTGGAGAAAGATGTTGTCTCTAATGCTGTCCACTGTTAGGTTTTGCTCCTAATGTAGATAAAGGATAATTGTGATTATTTAGGACAACAGTTCAGAAGAAAAGACAAAATTGAGAAATCTAGAACTTAATGTTTAAGAGACAGTGGAAGAAATTAATCTTAATATTGCATATTAAATTTGGGTTAGAAAGATAATTATTAACGCTCACTAAAAGCTTCTTTATGGGTCTCAAAAGCACTGACTTGGATTTAAAAGAAGATTTTTTAAAAAAATTATTATTTAACAGAAAATACACAATTTTGGTTAAATCTTTACGATTCCTGTACCAATCTTATCCTTTTCTAGGATCTTTTTGATAGATCTTTTCTGTAGATTTCCCAGTTTCTGTGTGTAGTAACTCTTGTTAGCAATCAAAAGGATTGATCAGTCTTGCATGGAGGGACTCTTTTTAATGAGTTACTGTCAAGAAGTGGGGTTTTTTTAATGTTTTTAAAATCATACATTAATCAAATGCAGTTTCTGCTGCAAAAGTCAGAGGCTTAAAGCTGTATTTACAAATGAGGGGAAAAGATATTAGACAATTAAATGCATTTTAGGGGGGCTGCAACTCATTTTGTTAGACTATAAAAGTACTTCATCCTGCACAGATGAGGGAGTGATCCTCTATGCAAGTCAGCTACCACGTTAGCAGATATTGGCAGGCTTTATTACAAGTGCTTTATCCCTTTGATTAGACCTTGATTGCCACTCAGGAACCAGATACAGCTTGCAGCCATCTCACTTCAGCTTGTGCAAGCATGTGATGAAGGAACATGAAGACAGATGTTTATAGCATGCCCCCCATCCTCCGTGTTTGAAAGGCTTACTGAGGTTCATCAAAGAAAGACTCCCTTACTTTGGGGCAATTCTGAGCTGTGGTTTGCAATGGAGCGCCCCTCAGAGAGGATTTTGAAAGTTTACTTGCCTCTCTGCTATGTGTTTTCAGGTGCTCTCACAGTTGGCCTTGTGCGACAGTGTCAAACCATCCATGGACGTGACAGGACCTGTATTCCTCCACGGCTGCCTCCCGAGTGGGTCACTACGTTATTTTTCATCATAATGGGAATCATTTCACTAACTGTCACATGTGGCTTGCTGGTGGCTTCCCACTGGCGAAGAGAAGCTACTAAATATGCCCGCTGGATAGCTTTCACTGGAAGTAAGTGACCTCAACTGCACAGTTGACCTGTATGCAGGATAAACTGCTGGAGTCTGAAGTAACACCATAGTGTTGGAAAGGAGCAACTGCTTAGGGCTCCTGCTATGCAAAACCTTCCTTCTCTTTGAACACTACATCTGAGGGAAAAATTCAGAAATAAAGGGGTTGGTGTCTTAAGTGACTGTAATTGAGAGGGAATAATGGTGTGGAAGAAAGGAAGGCCTGACCCCTTTACCTTCCCTGGGCAGTACCATTAATTGACCTAAGAAAATGAGCAGGGATCGAAGAGGTCAGTTCTGACTTGAGTGGTTATAGTATTCATACTTCCCCACTCCCAGCACTTAATCCTAGCAGCTTGCAATTACTGAAAATTCCCTCTCTGAGGCAGAGGAGGCTGTTGGTACATCTGGGGTAACCTGTCCTTACTCAGGTGTCTCATGAATACCTCGTTCTGGGTTGAGGCTGGTTCAGTTCTGCTTCATGCTCACAGCAGCTGCTTTATCCAGAATGTCTGCATCCTAATTGGCTATGCAGGAGGATTGCCCACTGCAGAGCATCTGCTGTGCCTCACAGCACCAAGACTTCTGCTTCCAGAAGTGACCTGCAGCCGTGCTTTAGCAGAGGGAGGAGTACCAGTGGTTTTCTGCCTCCTTTCACTGTGCTCTGCATGAGCACCTGTGTAACTCCTCAGAGCTGAGCCTGCTCCAGCAGCTTGCACTCAGGGAAACATATCCTCTGGCTACTTCAGTGCAGAAGAACCAGTTATAATGAGCAAGGGGAATGACTTTCATACTTCCTTTTCTTGGTGTGTGTTACAGGCTTAGCCCAACTGTGAAATGGTGCCTTAATGGTGGGGATGACAACATGAAAAAACTCAAAAGCACCTGAGGGCTTTTAAATTGACTTGAATTATGACAAACCACTAAAGGTAGTGTGAACACTAACTAGAAAATGCAAGTTTGTGGTTTACACGGGCATAAATAAGCTTTAATGGAACTCTGACATCTAATGATATCTAATGGTAGTTAGATTTAACCTTGTTTTTGGGAAGGGAATAATATTAAAAAGTGCTCAGCTTCAACAAAGGTACTTCACTGAGGTACTTGTACAATCAAAGCCATCTTTGTGACAACGTTGCAACACAGCATATTAAATTAATAGTGCTGCTCCTGCAGACAATGGAGCTATTGAAAAGCTATATCCATTGTGATTGACTTTCATTTATTTTCCAGTGAATGATTAAATAGCAGATCTGAGTATTACTGAATATTCCATCCCAACTTTTCCAGTGCACCTGTTTATCTATACATAGTTAATGTGTATATACTATATATGGTGGGGGGTTAAAGTCAAAATGCTGTAAAATGTTAAAATGCTTACAGAGAGCTGGAGTAAAAGCTCTTGGGTAAAGAGGGGAGTTTGAGTTCTAGATACCAATGTTTTTCTTTAATATCTGAAATCATCACATCCCTGCAGCTTTAGTTTTCTACAGCTGTGATGATTAGTTCAGCCAAAAAGTGTGGTACCCTAAGGCTTTTTTGTGGTGAGTTTTTTTCTCTAGAGATTTCTTCAGGCTTGCAACAGGTTCATTATTAGATGTCTCAGTATAGAAAGACATTTTTATTTCACGCTTGTCTTCTTGGTATGAGATGTTTAATAATGAAACACACTAATTTGTTCTTTTGCAAGTCAGAATTATTCATAATTCTATTAAGATATGATCTCTCTGTTGCTGAAATTATACAATTCAATGTCTTTGGTATTCATCTCCAATACATACAACTCTGTGACCTTTGCATTCCTGTTAACAAAGATGATGGGGAATTTTATCTCTGAACTCACTTGTTAGGAAAATTAATTTTGAAAAATAGTGAGTGGAAGGAAGATTTCTGGATTTTTCAAAAAGTTGTTGAGAGTGACTTCTGTGGATCATTGGATGCAACCCAAATTAGTAACCTATTTGCAGGTTAGTATTAGGAGCTATGCAGCCATGTGGAATCAACTTGGAATACCCTGAGCAGATCCTTCCTCTGAAGTGCCAGTGCTGTTTAGATGAAAATGTGTAACTCAATAGGAGGGGGCAGGGAAGACTTCATATTTGTATTACATCTCATCTGCAAGTGATTTCAAAACTCAGTGGCCTCGTGCAGGCTGCTAGCAGATCTTCTCACAGAACCTTCTGAAGACAATGCAGGACATGCTATCCTGGGCAGGCAGGGAAGTCTGCTGGGGCTTCCAAGGGAAGCTCTGGGACTGGCAGCTCTGCTCCTTCAAATGCAGGGGGGTCTGGAGTAAATATCTGAGGCAAAGGAATCCTTTTGTTCACCCTTTTCCTTACAACTCTGAGAGCAGGGAAAGCCTGGTAAGAGGTCGCTTTTGTCCAGTTCATGCTGGAATTTACATATAATTGTATAACTTACATTTTTAATTGAATTTTTGCTTGTAATCTTGGGATGACTCGAGGTGTTTTCAAGTAAATACCTATAGCTATTTTTTTTCATCTGCATATCTATAAATACGAATTGTTGATGAGCGTGGTCTTATCTTGTTTAGCTAAGAGACATGAAGAAGACAGAAGTTTAATATGTCAGTTCCCTTTCTTCTATACACTTCTGAAGGGATACACCCCAGAGGGTATTTACAAGCCTCATTCCCCAGTTGTTGGTGGGTTTACTGCACAGAAATCTATCCTTTCTGATGTCTCTGCAAACAGCTTTGTGGAGAGGAGAGATATTGCTGTCCTCCAGGTCATACTGCTGAGTGACAAAAGTCTTGTACAGGTAAATGGGAAGGTTTTCCTTCATTTTTTTAGAGGAGAGTCTTTCAGGAATCAGTATTCCTACTGATATGATCAGTATTGTCACTCTGGGCATAGATACCATCAAAACTCTCACTGGTGTTTCAGTAGTACCACGTTGATGCTGTGTAATGTACTGTTCCTTGCTGGTGTTCATCTGTGCACTGCCCAGGTTTTGTGTGATTCTTCAGTGAACAGGGTGTTACAAACCCATAGCAGTGCCTGGTGTGTTGGTAGCAGGCAAAGCTCTGATCAGCTGTTCCTTTGCTTGTGTACCAGAACTGCCTTTTGCCATCCCAGCTTCTGTACCATCTCATCACTAATTATGCCCTGGGACATAGTGACACAAGTTGGTACCCAAAAAGTGACCTGGCTTTGGTATTTTTTCACATCTTTGACACTGCTATTTTGCTGCCTGTGCTTCAGATTTATGTCAATCTCTGGTGTTTTCAGGGTGCTTGTTTTCTATCTTCTGGTTTATAGGATGTGGTGAAGGTGTGGAAATCTCAAATGTTGTCATTTTCATGGTCCTTCTGACAGATACTGTCAATTTCCATAAATAGAAACAATGTCCAGAGCTTATTCCCCATGGAGGCCACATAGCTGATCATGTATGTTATTGCAATTTTGGCTATTGCAGGAATTCACAGAGCTTCCTCTATGTAAATCTGTTTACATTGTACAGATTCAGGTCTCTCACCATCTGCTGCAGCTAGAAAGGGAATGAATTCTGTGTCTGCTATGACTGAAGGAGGTGCTTCTCTGAGATGTATCAAGGGAGAAGATGCTAGACAGAAAAATCATATTTCTACCATTTTTCCAGCAATCATCAGAGAGTCTGGATTTGGTTTGGGTTTGTTTTTCTTTCCTGAGGATTTAAAAGTTCATGAGCAATAATGGACTGCTTTTTGGAATGCAAGTAAAAATGGGGCAGGATAATCACATCCTTAACTAACAGTAGCTATCCTGTGAATGTCTGTGTCTGGTGTCCCCAGTGAATAAAGTACTTCTTGAGTTATTAAAGATTTGTACCAGGTGCTGCTTTCCATGTTATGTGTCTCTGTAGAGGCAAGCAGATATTACAGTGAGCCTCTGAAGACTAAACCTTTTTTTAAGAACAGATTTCTTTTGAAGTTGTCATTCGATGCTCAAAACAATTTCAAGCTGAAGAATTAGAGGAACTAATTGGGTTTTTTGACAGGCGCCATTCAGATGCAGACTAGAAAGCTCTTCTGTGCTTACTCAGGTCTGCTCAAGAAACACATACCCATGCTTTTTGCAGATGGACTCAGACGTTTGAGATACAATTAAGAAAAGGAAACATTTTTTTTAAGGATTAGGTTGTGTAATGTGGAATTACATGGACCAATAATCGTGTCGATTAAAACTTTCTTCATTGTTTGATGTTTAACATCTGGTGTCTGGGTTTTTGGTTCTGTTCTGATGGATGGCCTAACGAGGTGGCACTGAGCAGGAATGTGGCATCTGTGCAGTTCCAGCTGTTTTCTGATCGTGCTCTTTCCCTTCCCCTTTGAAGAATAACCCGGCGGTGCGGGCACGGTGCGAGTGAGACACGAGCCCCCTCCAGTGGAACATCTGGGTTTTCCTGCTCGGCCCTGGCAGCCGAAGGAAAGATCCTGGTGCTGGCTGCTCTTGGCTCAAGGTGGTGTGAAAGCTGCTTCATGTGTTTTGGAAGACAAGGAGCAGCTGATGTTCTGATGTGGATCATGGTTTACGAAAGCATCCTTCTTTGTTTATGCCCAGGTCCTCCTTGGACACTCTCTGAATGCAGATTCATCATGCCCAGTATCTTCTAGAATATTAGTGTTTTTTCCTCAAATCTGAGACCTGTACTATGGAAATCATAAACACTAAGATATAAAATATGTGGTAAACTGTTCATCTTGGATATACACGGAGTCCATTAAAAAATGGGTTCAGTGTGGGCTGGATAAACTGGAGCATCTGTATTTAGTGAGGAAGAGCAGCAGTGAAGCTACATTAAAAAATATTGATGCTGCTCCAGCCAATCATTTCCTCATTTGTAAAAAACTAGAAACTTAGTTCTGGTGAGGCTGAAGGGGGCAGGCAAGCTCCTGAGTTTATTTTACATGCCTTTGGAAACAAAAGCACCTGCAGCACTTCTTGCAGGGGAGCTGGTGATTAAGGTGATGGTTTTTGATATTGCTTGTTTGACTTTTAAGGAGGCTCAAGTAGGGAACAGCATCCCCCGGGGTTTCCTCTGTCTTGCAGTGGTGGAGAAGGGAAAGAGGAGACAATGACAGCACCTGTGTCCCGTACTAACAAACTAAAAGCAGCAGGCTGTGTTAACTGGAGAAAGCTGAAAAAGTCAGCATATGATGCACTTTGTTCAGGCAGGAGCATTGTAACTTGGCTTGAACTTTCTTGCGTGTGGCCAGATTATAGGCAGAGTTTGAGGTCTAGGAGAGGCTTCAGTGCGAGCTGTGCTTCATGTAAGATGTTGGTATGTGGATTTGTGGGGCTGGTGAGAGAACAGAGCAGGTTCAGCTCCTCTCTCCCCCCAGATCTAATTGGATTTGGTTGAATAATGGGTATTGTGGTGCCATGTTTCACTCACAGTAAATAATGTCTGAAACAAGGCTGAAATACAAAGTGAAATAAGAGTAAAGCACTAATACCTGACTGAACTGATAGTCAGATAAAATTCTGTTTTATTCTAATACTGATCAAAAAATCCCAATTGTTTATTCTTGCATATACAATCAAACCAATTCAAAAGCTAATCCTTTTTGTTGTGAAGAATATCTTACCTCTCAGTGGAGCCATATTTAGACACCATTGCCTTGGTTGACAGTAGAGTTCTGCACAGCTACATCCAAACTAAACAGGGTTACTTTTCCAAAGGTGTGCTACAGAAACACTGAAGTTGTCATCTGGGAAACAACACTGGATGTTCTCTCCTGGATTTGATCGGGGTATTGAAATGTGCTGTGAGGAATCTTGGTTACTATTGATACTTGAAGGCCTGTGAAATCTGTAATGCCATTCTTTAATGGGAGTTCTGGATTTCTTGTACTTTCACACAGAGTCAGTTGCAGGAACAAAACATATACGTGAATTTGAAGTGAAATAAAAACCCTCATTGCTTGGTCTCTTTGTTCGCAGAGTCTGAATTTAGTTTTTCACTAAGAAGCTTGAATTAAACTGAATCAGAAAACTTTCATTTCATTGTATTACAATGAGAAATTCTAAGGATATTTCATTATCTAAGGAAACATTCATATAATGTTAGGAAACTGGTATCTTTTAATCTTAAAAGAAACTGTAATGACAATCTGAATGTTTTCTATTTTTAGCAAAGCTTTTACAGAAAATGAATGTGTGAAGAATGGGAGAGGGCAACTGCAGTTGGAAAAAGACAACAGATAATAGAAAAAGTTTCTTCAGTGTTGAATGTTACTTTATCTTGACTGGGCAAAATGCCTAAAATAACTGGAGAAGAAATGACTGAACTTTGAGATGGTGATAGAAGTATATCTACCAATTTTTTATTCTGTAAAAAGGGTTCAGGATCTAGTGAGCAGAATTGAAATTACAGTCAAAACTGGGGACTTTTGGTCTTTCTTGGGAGTAGATGAGGAATGTTTTGAAAGCATTATAAAGCCTACTCAGTCATTTCAAGCAAGTTATCAGCTAGATAGCTCTGATCTCAGCTCTTCAGTTCAGTCAGGATATTTTGCTTGTTTTTCTGGAGCACTCTGTGAACAGATAAATATTTTCACTTTAACACAGCAGTGACTGGTTTTTTTTTCTTTTTTTTTGCAGTGATTCTATTCTGTATGGCAGCTCTAATATTTCCAATAGGATTTTACATCAATGAAGTTGGAGGTCAACCCTATAAATTACCCAATAACACAGTGGTTGGGTCTTCGTATGTACTGTTTGTCTTATCCATTTTCTTTACAATAGTGGGACTTCTATTTGCTGGCAAAGTTTGTTTACCTGGCTGATGAATGTCTGGACTGCAGGACTTTATTTTGGAAAAGAGCAAGACATCAGAATTGCATTCTCAGGAGGATGCCTAAATCAGACTATCAAACACTGACTGAAAAGAGGAATGCTTTGACTTGTTCTCACTATGCACTTTGGATGAAAAAAAGGAGAGCCTTTCCCATAACCAAATACAGACCACGTTGACTAATCTCCTGAGCATACTTCAATGCAGTCAGGTCTGCACTGTGATAGGAACTAGTGAAGAATGCTTTACACTGACAAGCAAAACGCCCCACGTTACTGGACTGTTCTGTTTTTAATGTCTAACAATTTGGAAGTCAAAGTATTTATGAACTTTGTGGTGGACCAGAGGGTTGTGGAGGAACTCAAGTGAGGCTGGCCTCGCTGTTTAGGAGATTAGTTTTACATCTTCCTTCTGATGAGCAAAGCCTTTGGCACCAATGTGGATCAATCTTGCATTACTGCACCAAGAAGCCAATAGATCAAAACATGTTCTCTCAACGTATGTAACAGCAAAAAGACATACTTCCCCTGCTCCCCCATAAGCTCTAGGAAACACTAAGGAACATTTTAGAGGGGGATTTCGTCCTTATATTTATATAAATATATATATATAAATATATATATATTTTGCTGATGCAGTATACAGTGTGTGTGTATGTGTGTGTGTGTGTATATACACATATGTATATATATGTATATACACACAGATGATTCCTGGAAAAGAACTCCGAATGCTTTGCTAGCAAAACACTGTGGTGTGCAAAACTAGAACTCAATAGAAAAAAGCCATTTTTCTGAAGGCCACATAGCTGAGAGTCTTCAGTTTACCTCATTCTTTGTAGCAGCCCTTGATTTTAACAGTTTTTTGTAATAGGTACAAACGATCCCATGCCTTTCTAGGTGCAATTTTAAGTTAAGCTAAAGTTCTTTTTATGGTAATTTATTTGTATATGAGGGTAGAAGGTGAGATCATGTCATACCTTAAAATCCTAATTTTGGGAAACTGACACTATTTAAATTATTAGCAACTGTTGTACAGAAAAATCTCTTTTTTTCTACTTCATTGTTACATTAGCATTCATACATGTTCAAGCACAGCATTTTACCATAGGTAAGCATTCCTTTTAGCACATATAAAATGCAATGTTTAAAGTAATGCAAACACTATCCCACTGCAAAGATGGATGAACTTATTTCAGCTGAGTATTAATTCATCTTTGCCAAAAAAATGAGCAATATAATTGTTAAAAATGTATGCCTTGTTTACTAAAGTTGTTATTTTAGATGTAGATTTAATGGCCACCAAAATTTGGAGTAAATATTCCGCACTAAAAGTAGTTTTATTTTTCAACATGTGGATAAACCATTGAATCCACAGACATCTTAATTCACTGCAAGGTTGGTGTTCCAGGGAAGCTGCCTGCACTGTCAGTATTTGTTTTCCTGTTATTCATAGTTTGTCTGAGATTCATTCAGAAAACAAAAAAAAAAAAAATCTGTTTTGAGCACTGTTTCACTGAACTTACTAGAGGAACTGCATTAATGTATAGACAGTCATTTTAGGATGAGATTTATGTTAAAGTAAAAGCAGCAGGTTCCAAAGTAATCACTTACCAGATAAGGTGGAGTGTTTAAAAATAACACAGTTTGCACAATTATTTTAAACTCTGTGCCATTCAGACTATTGTGGGTCCCTGCCTTTCTCCATTTCTTCCTTCTCCCCCACCCAAGGTATTTTAGTACAAAAATGTAATTTGTTAATGTCTATTTTCTTTTGAAATTTTTGACCAAACTTGCCACTGGAATGGTTTCTAAGTAATTTTTTTTCCAGTCAGCTCATTCACAAGCAGAATGGAGTGTTTATGGATCACTAAATTTTTCCAAAGTGTACTAATCTGTAAATACAGCCAAGCACTTACTTGGAAGTCATGGTTTAATAATTATAATTTGGTTCTTAATTTAAGCCTTCATCTGCATGGGCAGTCTGAGGCTCCTAGTGATAGTGGTGGAGGTAAAAGGCAGGGTTCAGCTGCTTGATATGTTTCAAAATTCTGGTGTGTCACTACTGTGTCCTAAGATAAAGTATTCACTAAAACTTGGATTAGAAATTATCTTTTCAGAAATGTTACACTTGTAAATAGTTCAAGATTTTTGTGACTGGAACACAGCTGGGGGGTGGGGAGAGTTTCTAAGCTGCTAAAATTTCTTTCCCTTCCCGCCCCTCCAACTTACTTATTTCAGTTATTGTAACATCATGTGGATTTAGGCTTTGATTAAATGGATCATAATAATAATTTTTTTAAAAACAAACAAAAACTTATCTTGGAGCATACCCAGACTGTGGCTGGCTGACTGGAAATTGATCTGATCTGCCAGTGCTATTGCTATGAATTATTAAATGTTAGCAGAGGTTTAGCAAATAGATTTATTAAATATTTGAGCATTTCAAGTCCAGAAATAGATGCGGCCAAATGCATTTTAAAAAAACCCAAACCAGTAATTGAAGAGACAGCTGTCAACAGTTGCTTTTAATAAGGTCACTAAGTACTATATAGTACAGTATTAATTTATAGCAGAAAATCATATCTTGTAAACTGTATATAAAACACTGTTTTATGGTGCAATCATTTGTCAAACTTATGTCTGTTACTTTTGTTTTAAAGTTGTGTGCATTCTTTTCATACCTAAGAGCATCACTGTAAAATCTGCTGAAGACTATTTATAGGTTTTATTTGCACAAGGTCTTGTTTTGAACTACAGGAAGTTCGTATTGAACATGCCTAAACATCTGTAGACTTTTTCAGTTCATGAAAAGCAAATGTTTCCATATGAATCTTCTCCAAAGGTAATCCCATATTTGTGTTGAGTGTTTACATAAACTTTTCTGATTCTGCCAGCCATTATTTTTTAACTTTTTGAAGGACAGCTCATTTTATACATCACTAGAGAATTCCATTCATTCTTTTGCTTCTAAATCCTCCCAAAGGTTTGATACCCTATCATAATGTAATTTGTGCACACTTTGTCATTTATTTGGCTAACAAAATGTAAGATTGGAAACTTGAAAACTCTTTCAGAAGGAAAAACTAAAGTCAATTTGTCTGTATAAAGCTCACCATTGAGCTCAGCTGAAAGAATCGCCTGGAAGCTGTTTGGCCGAGTCCCGGGGAGGGTGTGCTTCCCCGGGCACAGAGCCGCATGTCCGGCGCCTCGTGCGCTGCTGCTGCCGCTGTCCCGCGGGCAGAGCCACACTCCGAGCCCGGCCCTCCTGCCGTCCCTGCGTTCCCGAGCCGTTGTTTAACCACTCCAGAACACAGCTGTAGGTGCCTGTTCGCCCCGACACACACACAGGAGAATGGAAGCTGTCCTTTAAAACCTTTGTGAAGGATGAACATAATGAAGGAAATGGTGTCTGCCTGGGCTCGAGGCCGCGCCCGCCGCCTGCGCCCCCCGGCCTTTACTGAGGGTTGTTTTCTATTGGTTAGAGCATTTTTTCAATTAATGATTTCCGAACAAATGTTAATACAAACTGTATAAAATGAACATAATTTTCTTCACTTGTATTTTTGTTATTGAGCAAGTTTATCAAAATAAATTGTCTACTAAAGCGACTGCCTCCGGCTGCATTGACTGGAACTGACCCCACCCCGCACACAGGTGTCTGTCTCCTCCCCTCAGGTGTGTGTCCCCCTCAGGTGTGTGTCCCCCTCAGGTGTGTGTCCCCCTCAGGTGTGTGTCCCCTCAGGTGTCTCCTCCCTCAGGTGTGTGTCCCCTCAGGGGTCTCTCCCCTCAGGTGTGTGTCCCCTCAGGTGTCTCCTCCCTCAGGTGTGTGTCCCCCTCAGGGGTCTCTCCCCTCAGGTGTCTCTCCCCTCAGGTGTGTGTCCCCCTCAGGTGTGTGTCCCCCTCAGGGGTCTCTCCCCTCAGGTGTGTGTCCCCCTCAGGTGTCTCTCCCCTCAGGTGTGTCCCCTCACGCCCGGCGGGGCTCCTCGCCTCCCGCCCGCCGGCGCCCTCAGGCGGCGGGAAGCGGCGCACCGGGGCCGGCTCCGTCTCCCCCGGCAACGCCGCAACAGCGGGCGGGGAGCGGGCTGGGCCCCTCCGCTCCCGGCCCCGCACGAGGGAAGGGTCGGGGCGGTGCCGGGAGGTTCTGAGGGGTTCGGGGAGTCGCTGTCGCGGTGCCAGGGAGGGAGAGCGGGGCACGGGAGAGCCTTTCCCCGTCAGGTGAGTCTCAGCGGACGGGACGGGCGGAGCGGGGTCGGAGGAGCCGAGGGGTCTCTCCCCGCTGGGTGCGGTGAGTCTCGGGCAGGGGACAGCGCGGGGTCGGGGACCAGGGTTCTTCCCCGTGAGGTGAGCGGGGTCTCGGGGCCGGCGCTGACACCCGCTGTGAGCCGAAGGGCCCGGGTGGCCTGGCCGGGGGGAGGCGGTGGAGCCCAGCTAAGGAAAACCGGGATTTAATGGTTTTTGCATGACTCGTACCGCGCCTAAACCCGAGGGCAGCTCGGCCAGCCGCTGCCAGCCCGGCTGGCTCAGCTCCCGCGCCGCTCCGGGCTTTGCTGTGGTTAATCTCTTTTCCTGGTGGAGCTCTGTAGCCGGTCTCCCAGCAGCTGTGCACGCATATAATTAACTGCATAAAATCCATTAACAAGCAGCTCTGCAGAATAGTTCCTAAATGTGTTTTCTATAAGTGGATAATTGTAACTTCTCTTTATTTTTTAGTTTGCTGTTGTCCTACATACAATATAAATTATCATTTTAGTTGCTGACAATACCTAATAGTGTTTGTTCCTAAGGCTCTAATGCTTTTTATTTTTAACAAGGCTAAATTTGTTCATACAATGGATACACACATCAGGAAAACGGCATGGTTGTTGGACAATGATCAATATTTGGAAAAAATTGGGTGAGGAAACCATTACAAAATCTAATTCAGACTTCATCTGTAGATAGAAAATAAATTATAATTCATGTGAAGTATATGCTGTATCCCTTTAAAACATCATATATTAACTTAATGCTTAAACAACTGTCAAAGCATAGAACAGTTCCTACAGAAAAACTTGAAATGACTTTATGACAGTACAGGAATATTATGGGTAATGAATTGCTCTCATAAAATTATTATCTTGTAGGTTGACAGAATTCCATCTACAGGGTGATCATCCACCATGGCAGGATTTTGCTGTGCCTCATCCAGGACCAGATAATGGATTGCTGGGAACACATAGCAGCAAGACACAAGATGTGCTGGTAGGCGAGGTTTCCTACAAAATGGAGCAGCTGGTACAGTAATGCATACCCACTGTAAATTCACAGTGGGGAATAAATAAACTGATAGACAACTAATATGCTTCCTTACATACATTTGCATATACACACAGACAGTTTGATGGTGTGATCACTCATGTCATGAAACTGCATGTAGTTTCTCTGCAGAAATGGATCTGAGAACAAATTGGGCAAAACAATAAATGAGATCAGCTGTTGATACTACATTTTTCCTCCAAAAGGCAGAAGCCAAGTTCAAACTCTGAGTTGTGTTTGGGAGATGCTTATTTTTATTCCTCTCTGGTAAATCACTGGGGTATTTATTTCTTTTATTGAGCTCTCCTATTTATTGTCTTCATTCCTGTCTGCTCTAAACTAAACTCTCTTTTCCCTTCCTTTAGCTCACAGTCTGGGGGTATTGTGAAACCTTATTTTCCTTTGTACCTCACATTCAAAAGAGTATTCCAGTACATAAAATTATGTTTTTGGACATGCATTGCCTAGCAGCAACTCTCCTTAGGACTTAGGTTTTTGTCACATTTAAACAGCACATTTAATTTCTCATACTGCGTGTAATTTTTTTCTAACTTGATCTGTAGAAAGGACAAATGAAGAAAACACAGTCTCAAAAGGTTCAAACAACAGAAGAATGGATAAGAAACTACAGTTTGGAATCCTTGCAATTAACATTAGAGTATCTGGTAAATGAAGGCAATATTATTTTGTAAGTACAACACTGCCTTTTCTCTAGTCAGTCTTAACTTGTGTGCATCTCTGGTGTTAACCATGCATAGTGCTCCAGGAATTCAGGAGATGGTGGTGGAGTGATGGAGTTTACAGAGGAGACTCTTACTGATTTTGAATCCAGACTTTCTGAGTAAGTATCCATCTTCTTTACTGTTTTGATGTGTAACTGATTTTGTATCTCCATTACTGTACACACTGCCTTAAATCTTAATTTGTTATCTCTGGGCACCTCAGAGTATCTCAACATTAAAATCCTTTCTGCTGAGATTGAGAGTAAGGGATACTTGTATGTCACTACAGCTGAGGTTTGGGATGTTTTAAGGAAGATGCTTATCAAGCAGGTGTTGATGTGAAGCAGTTTGCTCATTTTAGAAAGGCACCCAGTGCATGGTCAGGTTTCCACAGTGTGGTTGGGGGTTATTGGATTAGCTTCAATTCATGGATGCAGTCATGACATGGAAATTGAAAGTATTCTAATTTTAATTAAAATTTAAAATGTGAATTTTAAATTTATAAAATCAAGAAACTTAAATAATTTAATTTATAGGTTCAATAAGCTGTAGAATAATCTTCACAATTGATAAGAATGCTGCCATTTCAGCATATCTCACTGTGTCAGGCTTTTATAAAACCGAAGCAGCTTTTCTATTTTGAAAAAGCAAAATGGATTTACCCCTTTAAAATGTTGGCTTAAACATTCTGTTTGCCAACTTGTAAACACTATGTGCATGGAATTAAAAATCCATTGGTTAAAGTAAAACAATTTTAGAAGACAGGAATCATTTTGTTTTACCTCAGGTTATAACTATTTTAATATTAAACTGTTGGAAGTTGTTCTGCTTTAGGGGAAGGAGTATTTAAGTGGTGAACCCTGCAACCACCAGTTGTGTAAGGGCATATTTACCATATTTTAAAACACCTGTTTGTCACAGATTTTGCGTCTGTGAGAGCAGGATGTGAGGGAGACAGGTGGGTGATTGTTACATTGAAGCCCAGAGTGAGAGAATGCTGTAGCTAAATGTGTGCTCTGCCTTTTGTCAGAGTGATTGAGCTCTATCAGCACCGAATTCAGTGGCTGTTGCAGGACAGCAGAAAGGTAACTTGAACTTTGCAGTATATTTTTAGAATGAAACTCTATATGGCATTAAAGATTAAATTAACTTTTGAATACTAGTGAAAAGTGGCTTCCAGAAAGCCTTTCTATTTTCATTATTTACTACAAGTTCCACATCATATCCAGTGATGTTGACAGTGGATTAATTTTCCTGACCTTTCATTAATATGCAGTTTTCTGCTTTCTAGATATAGTCTTTTCCTTTCTCTTTGCAGTCTTAGTCACCAGGTCCTCTCAGCACAATTTAAATGGGAGCAGACAATGCTGAGTTTAACCTCTGCCTGGAGTGGAGCTTCTTGTAGTTCACTGTGCCCCCTCCTGCACCGCTGCTTCATCACACTGTGCCTGGCAGTGCTAATGCTCAGGTGTAACTCCCTCTTGAGGGGAATAGGGAAAGATGCAGCATTCCAAAATCTGGTTTCCACAGAGATGCTTGATTTTGCCTGGAGGGAAGAAAGTTATTTTTTATTTATCCTCTCAAGTAATGAATAAGTTGTATTTGGAAGAAGGTAATATGATAGACTGGTAAGGATTAACTGGGAGCCAGTAAGACTTTCTTTATCTCTTTTTCTTTTCCTCCTTGACTTTGTCACTGTGTCATCTTTATGCTAAAATTTAAAATTAATATAAATACCTAATACTTGATTTTGAAATGGTGTTGTACTGAATAAACAGTAAAATTATTAAACTGTAGATAAGCTGATATTTACAGTGGCTTTTCTAAGGTGTTCGGTGTTATAAAAGGAACTAAAGTCGGACTTTTGGTTGATGTGTCTCATTTGAGTTATGGACCTCGACTATTGGATTTTCAAAAGAACCTTTTGGTAAGTAATAGTAAAGCAAATTTTGCCTATTTTAACATACTAATCAAGCTTCTGTGGAACTAGAAGCCAGGACCCAAATAGAAAAAAATTGCTTAAAATTCTAATATACAATGGAATAGAAATTTTCTGTTGTAGAAAAGTATGCTTCAGATGTCTTTGAAAGTGTAGTATTTGTTAATGTCCAAAACAAATCCAAATCAAAACAAATCCAGTATGCTTCAAAATATTATTAAGGGAAGTGTTATTGTTCAAGTTTCTCAATTCAATCAACATTCTCTGTGGAATAAACTTGCTTAACAAAAGCAGCTGTAATAGGAAGAGCTAAATTGTACATAGTGAAATTTATAGTAAATATAGTTTCCTTTAAGTTAATGTTTGTCACAGTAAGGCCCACTTCACAATTTTTTTCAGAACCTTGGTGAATTAAAAATTTTCTGTCTTCTCAGAAGAAACTTGTCCTTTATTGTGCTCTTTGTTTTTAGAAAACTTTTGCAGTAAGGAAGGAAGATATAATGTAGCTGGTTGACAATTCTTGTCATAATCTTGGTAATTTAATAATTTTCTGTCTTCTCTGAAAACCTTGTCCTTTATTGTGCTCTTTATTTTTAGAAAACTTTTGCAGTAAGGAAGGAAGATATAATGTAGCTGGTTTACTGTCTATATTTGACACTTGGTACACTTCAGTTTCCCACAGGAATTATTTACCATCAATTTATATTATTTGTGTGTTTCAAATAAAAGTCCTTCAAGAAAACTCAGTTTCCCCAGTCTGTTTTACTTAGCTTGAGTATCTGAACTGTTGTTTAGCCCTATCCATGATCATGAGGCAACCATTTTTTAGAAATTGCGTGGTGGGTGAATATGTGCATTCCAGATCACTGCTGTTTTATGTGATCATCAGCTGAAGAGAAAAACTGCTACCAGTATATCTGAACTATTGTTTAGCCCTATCCATGATTATGAGGTAACCATTTTTAGAAATTGCATGGTGGGTGAATATGTGCATTCCACATCACTGCTGTTTTATGTGATCATCAGCTGAAGAGAAAAACTGCTACCAGTAAAACAAATATCCCTGCCTCCTGCCCCATTAATAAATTTGTTGGAATGCCATAAGTTTGCAGGTTTTGTCTCTATCCTTACTAAATATTTGAATCTCTATGAGTTTTTCTTGGAAGCTTTTTTAGTGGTAGCTGAAAATATTGCTGTAACTATTTTTAGGAAATTACTATTTTTAGTCTTTTACATAATAACCCTGCCAGCACCATGGATAGTAATGCATTCCTAATTTTTTATTTATTAGTGCTTAATAGATGAGCAGCTTTGTTATAAGAAGGAGTTGTACTGCCTCTCATTCAGTACAGAAATTTCTCCACTGTGGGAGAGTCCAAAAACCATCAATGTTCATGTGTAAGTAAGTTCATTTCTCTGAAAAATCAAGGTGTTTCAGACAAGGTCTCCCTTTAATTTGAGCAATCTCTTGCAGGTAATAGTGTTTCTCATCTTCTGCCTGCAGTGATTTTAAGAGGGGAGAAAAGCAATGAATTTGACATGTGGTCAGTGATTTCAAAATGGTTTTCACATGTAAAATATCTTAGCTGGTTTGTTGTAATCTTTGTGATCTATCTTATGTAGCACCTAAATATTCTTTTTCTTGTTTCCCTCTCCTAGGCTACATGAAGCAAGACAGTGGGTACAAGAGCTGGAGCCTGGTCAAGGCTGCAATTTGCTGAAAGCCTTAAGGCATGTCCTTCCAATGAGAGAACTGAATTCCTTGGTTCTTATTGTAGGAAGCTGGTAAGTTCATTATCTGTCTTAACAACCAGATTTCACCTGGATACAGGATTGGTACAGGAAACTGAACTTGATACAAAAATAAATAAAAAATTCAAGATCCGTATATTATGTATTTTTAGTTTATACCTTTGAATTCCTTTATTTCTTTCTTCTTTTTTTTTTTGCTAGGAAAAGTTTTTTTTACAAGGAAAAGACTACAATAAGGATTCTTGGAGTGTTACCTTACTCCTAGTTTACTAATGCTATTTTATTTTAAATGTGCACAAAGGGATGGTGTAAGCTTGGCAAGATTGATACTTAGAGTAATTGAACTTAAATTTCAGGTAATTTATTGAACACGCAGTGTTGATTACAAGGTTCCAAGGTTTGCTTAGATCTGCTCTGAACAGAAACCAGAAGTTCATACTGTGTGAAAAATTCCTTAATTCCTGTCTCTGGCAGAAGTGCAGCTGCAAGGAAGTTCATACTGTGTGAAAAATTCCTTAATGCCTGTCTCTGGCAGAAGTGCAGCTGCAGCTCAGGAAATGACAGCTGTGTGGGACACTAGGTTTTTACAAGCCATCAGGGCTCAGGAAATGACAGCTGTGTGGGACACTAAGTGCTAAACATAAAGCAAAGTTTTACTTTCTTTGGTGCCTTTGGAAACAGGACATCCTTATACATACTAGAGCTGAAAGGTTTTCTATCACAGTGCACAACTCCTGATCTGTGGCTATCAGGACTAGCAGGGAGTACTTCAGAACATTTCTTTCACAAGCAGTTATGAATGGGAATAGAATCCTAGTGGGTTTGTTATCATCCAGATTTTCAGGACAGAACCAAGATCCAGTAGTAACATCTCAGGAATGGTTGAAAGAGGGAGAGAAGGTCCCTCCAAAAGCATGATAATGCTGAATACCTAAATAATTCCCATGATTTATTATTTCTTTCCCAGGTTTTTTTCCATATCTTCTTCAGTATAGCCCTTTTTTCCCATTTGATTACTGCCATTGTTAATACATTTTTCTTTACTTTTTTAATCAGCCCTGATCAGTCTTTTGAAATACTGTGTGATTATGCTCAGCAGTGTATGCTGGGGAGAAAAGTGCAGATTCACACTGTTACATATGATTGCAGCAACCCTGCTTCCCTTGTAAGTAATTGTGTTAATCTCCTGAAGTGCATTTTTTTCCTATTCAGTTGTAATGGCTTCTCTCCTAAACTTGTGGGGAAGCTAACCTAATCGTTAGGGTTCTTGAATTAATGTTCTGTTCTCTTAAGAGCATATTTGCACACATGAAAAAATTGTTTGGAGCATCCTCTTGTAACTTGCTTTACTCAGTTTTTCAGCCATATTGAAATAACACTGGATGGAATGATGGAAACATACTTATTTTGGCTTTCTCACTACATGTATCTCAAATAGTCTTTTTCTGTCTCTACTGAGAACTGAATACCCACAAGCCACATTATCAAAAGAGACTTATCAAGTCAGAGTAATTGTTTCTCTTCCTATTTTTATACATAGGCAGTTCTGAAGAATCTTGCAGCAGCTGTAAGAGGCCGTTATCATTGCTACTCTTCCAAGGAAGAGGTAGGTGACAGGGAGAGAGGCAAAGCATTTTTCTCTCTTTCTGATCATTCTTCACTTTGAGAAGGTAAAATAATTATCACCTGAGTAGAAGCTGATAGTAAGAATTGGTGCTGAAAGTCTCTGTCACAGAAATGCTGAGCATGTGCTCAATAAACCTGTGGTTAGTTCTTTCTGCAGCTGAAAACATTTCCTAAAAGTGCAATAAATTTTTCCGTTATTGTTTACTGACTTATGGCTTATAAAAGCAGTGGCTTACTGTAGAGTGATTCAAAGTAGTAAAGTAATATCTTGTTTATAAATTATTACTAATTTATATGCAGAGCATTAGATACATTCACACTGGAGTCTGCCATGCCAGGCAGTCTTGTATTGATGTTTGCACAGTAAAGTAAGAAAGCTGCTTTCAGTTGGTGTTTGAACAATAGTTGACTTATTTTTCCCCATTTGTTTTTATAATTGCAGAATTTTGATAGCAGTGATTTTCATCTGCTACTTCAGGAATCCCAGAAGGCTAAGGACCTACTCAAGAGCATCAAACAGAGTTTTTCCAGAGTTGGTGGGTTGCTTGGTAGTAAAAGAGCAGATGTATGTATATTTTTTATTTTCAGATGTACTTTGAATAATTAGGGTTAGAAATTTTAACTTCCACAATATGAAAAAAATTGTATGATTTATCAGGTATTTTGATATGTGAACTTTGAGTATTCTCTATTGAAAATCCATTGTTAAGAGCAAATTAAGAACTAAATCAGTAAAGGAGACATTTTGCTAAATATTCTCCAAAATGCATTAATAGAACATTGTTCTGTCATCATAATGAGCATCTCAGGAGCAAAGCCTAACTCTATGCACAATCATATAAATGAAGTTCCAACTGTCCTTTAAATAGGTGAAAAGACACTGCTGTGTGATTTAGTTGGACATTTAAATCCATTGCAAATTTATAAGGGCTTGTCTTGGTTGCACTGTTAGACAAGTCTGGGAGGAATTTTTTTGTGGATAAAATTTTAAATTATATTTCCCCTCATCCTTCCTATGCTGTACATTTTTTTTCCTCTTTTACAACCTCATAGCTACTAAGGACTGTGTAGCCTACCTGTGGAGCAGAAGTCACTCTGAAATTACTTAGAAGATTCTGTATCCCCAGTAAAAGCCCATTTTTAGGAGGACCACTGATAGCTACTTTCAAAGTGTTTTGCTTGTTGGAATTTCAGCACTTCAGTTTTAATTATGTTCTTCAGGATTCCATTCTGGATATTTTGATTTGAGGGTAAAAATAAATTGTGTTAAAACTTGAAAGAGCTTTTCTTGAAATCTGTTTTAGGTTTCCACAGCATTTGCAAATACAGCACCTTCTAGCTTCTTCCCAAAGCCTCCAAATCACAAAGCACCATTGGTTATTCAAACACCAGGCATCCTGTCCAAAACCTCAGCAGACTGGTTAAAGACGTATGGATTGAAAGGTAGTGCAGAAAGAAAAGCTTAGCAGTTATGAAACATTAATTAAAGACCGTGTATGTGTTTTATTTAATGTATTTTTTTCTTCCTCTAGCTAAAAAGTTAGACCTTTATCAAGTTCTGGCTCCCAACGCTTTCTCTCCTGTGGAAGATTTTGTACCAATTCTTAAAAAAACAGTATCATCAACTCTGCATGAGGCAAGTGAGGAGGAACTTTTTTTTCCTGGGTTTGTGGGGTTTTTTCCCTTTCTAACTTAAATCAGTACTTTATAAGGTAGCTGAAATTCTACAGACTGACATTTGAGTCATAGATTCAACTCAAATACTTAATGTATACTTAAGAATGACCCAGGAAGAAATTCCACGTTAGTCTGTCTTATGTTGGGTTCTGTAAACAGCTAACTCTACTTATCCTTCTAGAAAGTGATGATGCAGTTTGAGTGGTATGATGGAACTGTAAAACATATCCATGTTGACCTGCCACTATTGTACAACTATCAGGTGAGTTGTCTAACATGATGTGACCTTGTCAGGGCTTGACTACCATCTAATTATTCCTCATTAATTAACACTAGTCGTGTTAGCTAAGCACTGCAGGGACTCATGTGCAGACAGCTGTCCATGTAAGTCTGCAGCCACTGGGATTCTTACAGGCAGTAGTGGTTGTTTAGGATTTCCTCCTAGATCAGAATGCAGATCATCAGAGAGTGGGGCAGGTTTGATGACAGAGAAGCTGTCTGGGAACCTGTCTGCAGCCAGGGTTTGCTGTCTAGTGGTCTGTCAGTCCTTTTTCTTTCCCACTTCACTGGCAGTCCTGACAAAGGGCTATGGCAATGTTTCCAGGCAGGACAAATAATCCATTAAAGTAGGAATGATGTGAAGTCTGTGGAACTCCACAGCCAGACCAAAAGGAGAGTGTGAAGTGGCTGAAATGAAGAGCAGCTTCTGTGGTTTCTTGCTCACTGGGAGGTGCTTGTGTTTTGTGCATGCTAAATTATAGTTATTTTTGTGAGTTCAGTGCTCTTTTCTGGCTTGATATGCCCTCATATAATGCTTACATACTTACATAGACTGTACTAAGAATGAAATGTTGCTATCTGAATGAATGAAAATAATTTTTTTCATTACTATGTTGTTACGTTATTTCTATATTAAGCATTTGGCAATAAAAGACTTGAACTTTCTATTTGTAACATAAATTTTCTTTATTTATGCATAGAAACTCCTTGCTAAAATGGTAGGAATTTATGAGAAACGAATTGACTGGCTATCTGTTGCTAGTAGAAGAATATGGGGAAGTGTTTGTGAAAGAAGGTACTGTATTTGATTTTGGGGCTTTTTTGTGAGGTTTGGAGTCTTAATGTGTTTGAGGAAAGTGTTTATTTACATCTTGTTTGAGGTTTTACCCAACCTCAGTTGCACATTTGCACTTTTCCCTGTTTACAAGTCTTGAATGTGGAGTTTCAGACAAAAGGAAGGCAGCTGAGGCCCCTGTTACTAGAGATTTTCTTGCTCATTGATTAAGCATTGAATTAGCCCATCTGGCCACTCTTTTGTGCTGGGAACTCACATCCCACTGAGTGTCCATCACATCTGTGGGTCTTTTCAAAACTACTGCTCCCAAATTATCCTGTGTCCATGAACTGTGACCATCCTGCATTGTCTCTGCAAGCAAGACTTAAAACTGACCATGCTGAGCAGCTCCTCATTGGCACTTTCCTCTGAACAGGTAATGTGCTCAATAGCATCAGTCAGTCCATACCTGAGCAACCACTCTGGCACTGTTGAGCTGAGAGAAATCTTAACCATTTGTCTTTGCAGTAATATTCCATATGTTCCTGGAGTGTTGGCTGGGAAAGGAGAGTGAAGTATCCAATAACTCTCCATGTGGCAAACATCCACATACTCCAGGAGGGTTTTAGGTACTCAAGTTCAGAGAAGGGGAAGAGCTGTTTTAATGGCTCCTGAACAAGTAGCCGGTACACTAATTATTCCATAGTTTAGGAAAGACAGAAGTTTCCATTACTGGTCCTGTTTTTGTTTTTTAAATGTCACCTAAGATTTTACAGATTTTTTAAAAATACAGATTCAATGCTTATATATTTTGATACATAGGTAGAAGATAATTTCCCTGACAAGTTAGTGTGCACTAAAGATAGGAATACATAATTAAATAAGACTTTCTTTTTTAAATGAATAGCATTTTTTTTTTCTATAGGGTGGTTGTACTTGTTGATATATCAGTGACAAACTCTACCTACATCTCTCATATCCAACATTGTTTGCGACTTTTACTCGAGGAACAAATGTCAAATAAGGATTGCTTCAATATTATAGCGTAAGTAACTATTTAAGGCCTTTAAAAATTACTGCAGTGCATTGCAATGAAAGAAGTGTGCTGAGAAATTGTAGTTACTAGTAGGTATATTTTAGTATTCAATGTTTTTTAGTGAAGTATTTGCAAGACTAGCACTGATTGGTCCTTACTGGGTGAGTGCATTAATCAGATGTATGGAGACCAGATTAGTAATTAAAAATCACTTCTTTGGGTGAGGGTCTCTGGAACTGATTGCATCATACCTGTAACAAATACTCATCCTGTTATATTGTTCATAATAGCATTAATTCACCTGTCAGAAATACACCAGAAGAGATTTTTAATGTCTCAGATGCCAAAACTGAGAGCACCCTTTAAATTTACACTAACTCCAGTACTGTTTAATATATTAGAGTGGTAAAATTCTGTACTCAGCACTGGCAGGCAGAGACATGTGGCACAACTGCTGAGCAGCTGCTGGGCAGGTGCCTGGCAGGTAAAAGTAAGAGCCAGCAGCTCATGGAATTCCTAACATGGTGTGAGAACAGAGCCCTTACCTCACAAGAGAGATACAGGCAGCAGCTGGGGGTTGGAGTTCTTTTTCACACTCCTTCCTCTGAGCTTTTCCCAGCTCATGTGGGATCCTATTCAGGAAAGAAAATCAAATGAACCTTGGGTGATGGATAAATGTGGATAATTAAATGGTTTAAAATAGAAAATAGTTGGCATCAGGCAGTTTTATGTCTGTAATACCCTAAATGAGATTCTTCTTCATCAGTGAATTTATTTTATCTTTTTGCTTGTTCTAAACCATAATCTGAAAATTAATTGTTGTTATCTTTCTGTGAAAGATTTGGGAGTGACATTGTGCCTTGGCAGCAGGAACTGTGTCCTTCCCAACCAGAAAACTTAGAAAAGGCTTGGAGGTAGGATTAAGTAATTATCCCATGTATGTGAATGTCACAGAGAAAAATTGCAAACAGCTAAAAGTTGTATAAGTTTATTATGTTACAAAAATGGGCTGCCATGTTCTACAATGATTGTTCATAGTGATTTCTTGTGAAAAGAGCATTGCAGAAGTTAATAAGCTTGGGGTGACTTTGTTTCATATGTATATATAATATATATGTACACAGATACAGAAGTGTCTGTATAAGGAATGAAGAGGTTACATGAAGCATTGAAAACTGCTTCAAGTTCAGTTGGGATATGGGTTTTTCCCACATGCTTTGAAAAAAATCCCAGGTTTCTGTTTGTGGAGTCACATTTTCTGTGTTCTCATTATACCTCTGTTTCATTTCTGTTTCTGTAAGTTCTATTACATTAATATTTTTCCATGTAAAATTAGGAGAGAATTCTTTCCTCTTTATGCTTTGTATCTTACTTTAAAAACTTTCCTCTTTATGCTTTGTATCTTACTTTAAAAACTATTGCCATGCTGGCAATACAGAAACCAGAACAAATAATTTGTTATATAATCTGGTTTTGCTCTCTGTCATTTTCAAAAATTTTAGACTGCAGTGCAGTGTTATTTAAGACACTTAGTTCTCTTCATTGCTTTGAGTAGAAACAAGAGCTTTTGTTTCTTTATTATTTGAACTGTAAACATCTTGGTTTAGGTGGGTGTTGAGCTTGGAGTGCAAGGGCAGTAGAAATTTCATGAGTGCACTCAGAAGAGCTGTGGAGGTTGACTTCAAAGACAGTGATAAACACAAATCACAGGGACTCTACCTGCTGACTACTGGAATACCTGATCAGGAAACAGTGAGTGTCATCATGGGCAACTTTTCTCTAAATTCCTATCAAAACTAATATCAACTTTCTTTTTCTCTTTTTTCCCCCATCTCTTTTTCCCCTTACAGCCAGTCATCACCATTCATGGGCAGAATATTCCCCCTTTTTATAGCTAAGGCAGCACAACTGTCAGGATCCCAAACTTCCATTTCTGCAATTGGTAGTCATGTGTTGGAGGTAGCAATTATTAATTATGTGTGAATTATAGAAAATTCAAGACATGCTTTTAGGTTTCCTTTCCCACTCCAGCTCTGGGCGTCATTTTGCTTCAGATTTCTGAGTTGGAGCAAGCTGATTTTTTGTAATTTACCATTTCTGTAGAACTCATGGAACAAATAATTTTCCAGTGGGAACTCCATGGCAGCCTATGTAGAGACAGCTGCTGGTTTTGTCCCAGTAATCCCTTCTTGGATCCATGTTTGTGGTGAATGTGCTCTGTGGCCATTGAGCCTCATGCACAGCCTTGAGTTTCTATGTGTGTGCAGTGAGGTGTCTCCTGCTTTTGTTACCAAACCTCTGGAAATTCTGGCAGTCTAAGAAATCATTAAAGCCCATGTGGTTGACAGGAAAGTGAGGGACAAATGGAGAATGTCATCCCTACTTTGCTTCATTGCTGTCCATGATCTCAGTCTTTGGTTCCTAAATGTACCCCAGCTCACCTCTTGCCTGCAGCAGAGCTGTTGTCCCTGTAACCAGCCATAGTGACAATTGTTGTGTGTCTGCATGGACTGAGGAGGCACTGCACTGCTCAGGTACCTTCCTGTTCTGAGCTGCTCCAGCTGGGAGCACTTGTACATCAGTGGATGTACATCCAGTGTACATCCAGGAACCAGTGGAGAAGATGGGAGCTTATCTGAGGTAGAGGCTCACCCCAATGTTTCTTTCTCCTCTGTCTTACAGCACACAATCAGTGCTTACGTGGCTGAGGCGTGCAGAGGTTTGGATTTGCAGCTCCATGTCTGTCTGTTCAGTGTAACAGAGGGCACTGACTGCAGTGGGGTTATTCCAGCCCGCTATGCCAACCCCAGGGAAACTGCCAGTGCTTTTAAAGACATTGCACAGGCAGCCAGTGGGAGGTTTCACTGGTTTGGAGAAGCAGGTATGAGCAAAGGAAAGTCAGCACATATTTCTTTTCCATTAATGAAGTAATATTCTTTAATGCTTTTTTACTCCCAAATCAAATAGTTTACTTTTTTAAGATATGCTGAGAGCACTGAGATATAAACACAGGTCAGAGTTTTGTAGAGACTTTCAACCACTTTGCAGAATATTATAATGCAGCCTTAACGAAGGAATTTGTTTGGGGTTTTTTTTTTTCTATTTGAATTTACTATTTTCTGTTAGCCTTTTTAAAGATGCTTTAAAATATAGTTACTGGTGTGATAAGTCCAGATGATCGGGCTTGCAGGAAACAAAGGCTTTTTGATTCCCTGCATTGGTATTTAGCATGTGATACAAATTGTTTTACATTTAAAAAAATACTTATTTTGTACACTTCCAGAAACCCATGCTAATTAGCATATATTTGATTATCAGGTATTTTTGAAAGTGATGATATTACCAGTATTATATCTGAAATGGAAAAAGCAAAGAACTACTCCCAAAAGGTATGAATTACATAGAACTTTTTAAATTACATGTTTCTTCCTAAAAAAAAAAAAATCAACAGTGTTTGTTCAGCTGACAATTCAGGAGATTGGACAAAACCCTTTTATGATGAGCAGGAATGTTCTAGAGTGTGAGAATAGTGGCCATAGAGTAAATAAGGACTAGAAAGCAGTTGCACAATAGCACTGCAGTGACTGCTGTTGGAGTAGCCATGATTCCACACCAAATATAAGTTTACAGTTCAAGTGATTCTCCTTTCTGTTGGCAATCCTGTGATGAATTCTTTTCAAATAAATTAATTCTTCATTATTTTAAAGTTATAAATGTTATATGCAAATAAATAACACTACATTCTTTTAAGTCCCAGTGTAGGGAGGGCTTGTCATTAGCACAGTGGCTTTGTCAATTCTAAACCAGTTGTTTTCTCAAGTGTACTGAGGATGTAGAACTGGACTGTATCTCACCATATTCCATGCAGATGACTTTTTTCCAAAGACGTCCAACAGAATAACTGCAGCAGTATAGCCAGCCTGGCAGTGTGGTGCCTGCTTCCTATAAAAGTGTGCATTGAAAGAGATCTGCACTAAGAACCCTGTCCAGGGGGCTGAGAACCCTGTTGGATGCAAGTCTGAGTCACAAAAGTTGGATTTTTTAAAAGAAGAGCTGGTGGCTATTTAATGATACCTAAAAATACTTAGTTATCCTGTAACAGTTGCATACACTTGGTTCACCATCTTCCACTTTGTTCTGCCTTGGTCTATGAACACTGCTGCCTTTTGGTTTGGTCTGCCCAGAGCAGGAAGGGTTTCCATGCAGTGTGTCTGAGGAAGCACAGCACAAAGGGGTTTATGTTCAGTTGGAGGTGTTAAGCATTGTCAGATAGGAATATTATTTATTATTATAGTAGTAAATACAAAATACCTGTCTTTGAAATGTCATTTCCCTAAATTCTGTGTATCTGAATTACTAAACAATGTGGATTTCCATTTCAGTGTGCATTCCTGGTGGAGTCCTTAAAGCAACGCTCAGTAAATCAGTCTGTGAAACCCCTCACAGCAGGAGACTCAAATGTGCTTGTAAAGAATGAGAAAAAAAAGCCACAGAAGGTGCCATCTCCTAAAGCCACAGCTGTGAGTCTGGCTGGAATGGTTTGAAATGGTCCCATTTTTAATATGCTGTGTGTTAATTAAAGATCCTACCCAGCTATTGGTGAGAGAAGTGCTCAGCTGAAAATTTGAAGAAATAAGAGCAGCACTGTGATAGTACTTTGAATTTGTTTGCATTCAAAATGCTGCATATACCAAAAAAAGTGTATCATCCTGAGTAATTAATTGTAATGGAACCACACTGTAGAGTCAGAAGGTGTCTAAATAATCCTTCCTCTGGCCTTAAAAAAATAATGCTTAATGCAAACAAAGGCAAAGCAGAAATGTGCTTTACCAAATTACATCTATTTTGCAAGTCCTTCTAGAGGGTAGTGGATATTATGATGTTCTGCTTATTTACAGATTAGACAGCTGCAGCTCAGTAGCATGTCTGGCCTCACAGAGAGCCAGCACAAAACAAGAACAGAACCCAGGATTTGTTTCCTGCCTGCTGTGCTTATTTCTGTGGAGCTGCACTCCTGAATCCCCTGGGATTTTGCTAGTGTTTTAATTTTGACTGTGTTTTGAGTAGGTGTGCACATCTGTAATATGCATAAAGGGCCAGTGTCTGCTGGAGCTTTCAGTTCTCATCCTTGGAATGGGAATGGTGTTGTAGGTGTGGGAATGTAGGAAATGGGAATGTAGGTGTGGGAATGTTGCAAAGGCTTTGTAGGTCTTCCAGGCTGTTTTATCAAAAGTGTCATATTCTCAACACCTCTTCACAAATGCAGGAGAAACTAATTACTCAGAGATGACAATAGAGCACAGTTTTGCAGGGATTAAACTTGTAGAAAACGGGTACAGGGTTGCCTGTAGATGTTTGGTGATATTTATAGCAGAGCTGTATGTTAAATTAGATGTCAGTTGTTTGAAGGCTCAGTGTCACAGCAAGTCTTCTCCTACAGTAGGGTTAAACAAGTGCTTGTGCTGTTTAGCAGGCTGCTCAACCCCTAGAGGGATAAACCAAACCCAAAGGAGAAATTACTGGTGTCAGCACTAGATTTTCAATAGTCACTAAAATGCTGAGGAAGATACTAAATACTGTATTCTATAAAGCAAGGCCATTACCATACCAGACTGCTCCTTCAAGTGGCAAAAATGGTCCAAACTCCTCTCCCTGTAAGTGTTAGTCTTCAGGTTTATGGTAGCAGATGATATTGGCAAGATAATTAAAGCAGAGCTATTAGAGTTACTAAACCCAGCAAGAAACTGTAAATGAATGTGCTGTTATGGCAGTCTGTGGATTTGTCAAAGCCAGAGTAAAGCAGGAATTAAATAATAAAGAAGTGTAGTTCCAGGTTAGAATAATGTAGTTATGATACATCTGAAGCACTTTTTACTTTTGTTGTTGTTGTTATTAAAGGTGCTTAAGGATGTTAAAGACAACCATGGTGCAGAGGGAAATACTCCTGTAAGAGTACTGGCATGGCGTCCTCCCAGTGCCAGAGCAGGAATTCCACCAGGTCTGTATGGATTAGGGGCTTTTTGTCTTCAGTCTTTCTGTTGGGTTTTGCTTAACAGACAGTATTTAAGTTAGAGATTTAAATTAAGATTTTAGAAACACCTGGCATTGTAATCTTTAATCAGATTTATAGGAACCATCGTGCTTGTTTTGGAATTCCTTTGGGATGAGTTTTAGCTGGGTTTCAGCTGTAATTTACCTCTATTGTGCAAGGAAAGAACTCTGCACAGCTGTGCAGTGATTTCCAGGTCCTAGGATTGAACATCTGACCTTCATCAGGAAATGCCAAACGTGTCTGATGGAAACTAGAACCCCTCTGTGTCCCATACCTGAAGCCACAAGGCTCAGCAGTTCAGACATTCATCATGTTATTACTTCAATGTATACATTGCCACTAAATCTGTTAGATCCCATTTTAATTAATATGCTGTTCCACTTGATTTATTTATGATCTAGTAATGAACAAAAGTACAACAGCACTGTCAGGTTGTCTGAAGTGCTAACTCTTCCAACTGCTCCCAGTATATGAAAAGCTCTTAAACTGATTCCAGTTACTGCTGGTCCCTTAAAGGCCAATTCATTTCTCCTCAATTTCTTTTTTTTATTTTATTTTCCTGTGTTTTTTCTTTGTCATCACTAACATTTGCAATTTATTTGTCTTTACATTAAATTTGAGTCTTCAAATCTCCTGATGTTGATGTGTAGCAGTGTTTACAAATCTAGAATTACACTTGCATCAGAGGTGCTCTGTACAAAGTTAACTGGTTTCTCCAACAAATATTATGCTTGTTCAGGCCTCTAATTTTTTTCAAACTAACTCCTGTGACATTTTTCCTGATGGTAATTTCTTATTTGTAAAAGTTTCATTTCTATGAAAGCTGCTGAAGTAGTGGTGTAATATGATTTTTCTTAATCAGTATCAAAGAAAATGAAGCATTTATAATTGTGGTAATAGGAATATATGAAGAGAAGAACAGGGTTGGGTTCTTCTCATGTAAGAGTTTTATCCAGCTGAGCTAAATTAATGGAGTTTTTATCTATTATTTATTTGTAGCACAAACAGTTAAAGAATGGCCTCAGACTGAGAATAAAGGAAAGCACAAACCCAGGAAGCAGCCAGAGCTTTCTGTGTCTGTATTTTACACTGAAGAAGGAAGAAATGTGGGTATGTGTTATCAGGATGGGATGGGTGAAGCCCTTTTCTTATCAGCACTTCTGTTATAAAACTGGCAGGATGGGAAGTCCCTGATAACCAGGCTGCTTTGAACAGTGAGTGGGAGAGAGTTTCACTTACCAAACAGTGGCATGGATTTTTAGTTTAGATGCAGATGGGTGGCACTTTTTCCCTGTTTTTGGGGGATTTTTCTTTTGTAAAGTCCCTTGGGATCTTTTGGTTGAAGGTGCTCTGAGGAAAAGCCCTGTGAATGTGGTTCAGTTCATTACAGAAGATTTGGTTCGGAATTTTGTGAAGGTGACAGTTTTTTAAAATAAGTGATTTTTTAAAGTACTTTGTTCATTTCCCAAATAGGTACAATATATCAGAGGTATCCAAAGGCAGTGTGTGTAACAAAATCTGTTTGCTCTGTCAAATTGCCAGAGGAAGAGGAAATCTGTTCAAGCAAAGAGGTATTTTTCTCCTTACTGATGAATTGCCATTTTGGAAATACCCATCTGCATAAATGTAAACATTAATTGTCATTCTGTACAATGTGTTATTACTTAAACTGTTCTGATATTTGCCAACAATCAATTTGTTTGTCTTACAAGTGGCTGACCAAGTACAGTATTAAAAAGCTTAAACTGGAATTGCCCAGACTGATGTTTGCTCCAAGCTGTACCCACCAGAAGACAACTGTGGAGTGTCTGCACAAGAAAGTATCAGCAAAATACTGTTCTATCTTCCCCAGTGCAGAAATCAATGTAGGTTTTTTGCAGATGTCAGGTACCTACATTATTGAAAGGCTTTGTATTTGTTTAGTGAATGTGATTGATGGTTCTGACATTTCTCTCCACTCTTCCCTGATCTTTCTCAATTATACTTCCACTAGCAAGCTAAAGAAGGTCTTTTATTCACTGCAAGAAACCATGTAGAATGTTAGAAGTCCAGACTGCATGTTCTTTAGAATGTGTAACATCTCTTTGGTTCCCACAGTATGAAAAATAATTTTTAAAATTTAAGGAAAACTTACCAAAATCATGTGTGAGTTGAAACTGGGAAAATGTTGGATCTTGATTGTTTCAGTTTGTGTAATGACTGGAGAGAAGCATAGAAAGTTAAGTGCAAGCAATAGTCACAGAATTTTTCTTACCATATTTCATAGATAAAAAGACAAACATCTCCCTGATGTCCAATGCCAACATTGCATGTGTAGCAGCTCAGCTCAGATTTCTTGAAGTAAGATGCTCTTGTACAAACTGAATTTTTCCAGGGGGTTGTGAAACATCTGCAGTTTCAGCCTAGAGAACTGGAAGCCTTCACAGAGCAGCTGGAGAAGGTGCTGCAGCGCTATATCCAGAGAGTGCAGTGGCTGCTCTCAGGTATTGGTGTGCCTCTGGATTTCTGTAAAGCACAAATATGTGCACAACCTTCTTGTCTGCTGTTTCTGGTAGAATGGATCTGAATGTAACTCTGAACCTCCAGCATTTCATTGAAAGTTTAAAACTTATTTTTGGGAATACAAGAGAATTCAGCATCTGTGCAGCTGATAAAGATCTTGCTTGTTGACAAATAATTAGGTTTTGGTCCTTGTGTGTTTGTGAATACAGAGTAGAAGCTTTCTATCAGCAGAATATATCCAGTAACATATACAAGCAAAATCAGCTTTTCTGCATGTTTTGCTTAGAATGTGCCCTGCTGCTTAGAAGTTCAGCATCACTACTGGTGAAGACCATTTCAGTCTCTGTTGCTCATAAAGATCTTTGTTGGGAAATAGTTTAATTTTTTGCTGTATTGTAAAGGACAAATTATTTAATGCAAGTTGCTACAATTAGCTAGTAATTAGTGCTTGATAGTGCTAGTTTTGAAATGGCCAAACACTTTTCTATTGTTAACCTTTTAACTACATAATTGTCACACAGATTAGACTTAATTATGTAGAAATGTGTCCAGAATTGCCCCTAAAGGCTGAAGATTTACATTATGCTCAATAAAATAAGCCTATGTAATAACTCTTAATTAGTTTTAATGTTCTGGCCCAGGAAGCCGAAGATGGTTTGGTACCATTTTAGAAGCAAATGTCTGTGTTTTGATTGATACATCTGGCTCCATGGGCCCATATTTGTCATCTGTCACCAAAGAACTTACCTCCCTTATCTGGGAACAGCTGAGAAAAAATGAAGTCAGGTATGGTGAATTACTGATAAAGACTGAAATCTGTACTCATTAATATGTAATCAGATTGCTTAATAATTACAGTGATACAGCACTGAAACACAATTCAAGTAATTATTGTGTGTTAGAGTATAATGTGCATGTGACAAGAACTGTTTTTTCTGTTGTTTTTACCAGTTTTAAAGTTCTAAACTCTCTAAGATCCGAGCCTCTGCTGTGGGCTGATGCTGTTTACCCTTTTAGGCTCAGCATTCCCATAGATTTTCTGTTCATGCAAAGTAAGACATGCTTTTTGACTCTTACAAGGCTGAAGATCTTAATCCAACACAAGGCTTTTTGATGGGGGCTTTGGTTGAGTTTCATGGTTTTTTTACTGTTGGGTTTTTTTTCTTAATTTTATGTATTTACTTATTTCAAAACTGTCTTATCCAAAGTGACTTGTATTGGTTAGGATTAAATGTTGTGGGGTCATCTTTCTCCTCAGGTTTAACCTGCTGAGATTTGCAGAAAATACTGAGAGTTGGAAGGAGTATCTGGTAGAGGCAACTGATGAGAACTGCCATGGTGCTGTGCAGTGGGCTTCCACGTGCCATGCTCATGGGAACTCCTGCATCCTTGCAGCTTTACAGGTTGGTGTGGCACAGCTTGGAGAGCACCTCCTGTCCTGTGGAGGTAAAACCCTTCCACCTGACTGGGACATTCTAGGAAAATGATGATGTCAAAGTGTACAACATCTTTATATGCAAATCACTGAACAGTTTGGAAATCAAGTCACTGCTTCTGGCCCCAGGGCTCATAGAGACTCAAAGTAATTGCTTATACTGAGTTTTAAAAAAAGAGTCAAATATCAATAGTTTTGTTAATATCTGTACTCAGAGAATACTGTAGGGGGAAAATAGCCAGTTGCTCAAACTGATATTTATGTACAACTGTGGCTGTGCTGTGTTTCTCTGACCCAAACAGGGTTTTAAATAAGCAGTGTTTGTTGGCATCTCATGGGTTTTGAGTACAATTCTTGAACTTCAGTAACAGATGAAGAAACTTTTCTCCTATAAAAATTCTCAGTGTAGAAATCAACTAGTAATAACAACTTAAAATTGAACTTGCAATTTTACAAGATTTAAAAATGGAATTAAAAAATGTTGCCTTTAATGAACTGTTCTTCTTCCAGATATCCTTGCACAATCTCTAAATAAATATTATGGCATTCATCATGAATGAAGTCCAGTAGAGCTGCAAGACACATGCATATTACAAAGATGTCCAAAAAAAATGTTGCCTTTAATGAACTCTTCTTCTTCCAGACATCCTTGCACAATAAATAAATGTTATAGCATTCATCATGAATGAAGTCCAGTAGAGCTGCAAGACACATGCATATTACAAAGATGTCCACTGAGTCAATTACTGTAGCAAAGTTTCATAATAATCATTCAAGTCCTAGTGAGCCTGATTTTCAGACATTAAACAACTTTAACTCCCATAAAATATGATGTAAAAATCTTTTGTCTGTAGTTCTTCAGAACCAGTTAATTTTCTTATTTCAGTGAGTCAATTTTTGGCAATGCCCTGCTTATAAATATGTTGTCTTCTGCTACAAATTACCTACTTAAATTTTCAAATTTATACCTTGATCTTCTTCCCTAATAAGAAAATGAAAAGAAAAAAATAGGTTGATTAATGATCAAATATAAATATATTGGCAATTATAAACTATCTTAAATCATTGGAATGGTGTTTTTATTCTGAAGTATAACATTTCATATAAATGTACCAATTATTCAAGCTTGTTTTCTGCTTTTCAGAAGGCTCTCAGTTTCCAAGGTGTAGAGGCACTGTATCTATTGACTGATGGAAAACCAGACACCAGTTGCAGTCTGATTTTGAAAGAAATTGAAAGATTGATAAGGAAACAAGATATTAAAATCCACACCATTTGTTTTAGCTGTGCAGACAGGTATATGATGCTTTGCAAGAACAAAACAAAAATCTCTTAAAATGACTATTTTATTTATTGTCAGAAGTCTGTGCTACCAGGATGGTAATGGGGAAGGTTGTTCTGACACAGGTAATTGCCACATGGCCTACATTGCATACTGGAATTTATAATCATGTCCTCCAATCTGTTGGTTTTGATGTCATATTTTTGAGGAGTTCTTAGAAATCTTTTGCTGTTGCTTTCAGAAAATAATTTTCATAAGTAGCTTTCTACTTTGTGCTAACAGAGGAGCTGTTGAATTCCTGAAGAAGCTTGCTTCCCAAACAGGAGGGCGCTTCCACTGCAGTTCTGGAGGTGAAGATGGACAATTAGCAGCACACAGAATATTGACAGAGGGGATGGATGATGAAGATGTATGTTAAATAAATAATTTGGTTTGTTTCATTGCAACTTAGTTCTTCATCAGTAGAGAAACTTCATTTAAAAAAGAAAAACAATGAGAAAAAAAAATACATAATTTCTAAGATATTTCAGATTAAAACCAAAAAGAGAAATCTTAGTATTTGGTTTTTCCTTTCTGCTAACTGCCTTGGTGAGGTGCCCAAGCTCATGAAAGGAATACACAGTGCAATACAGGTTTTGGAAGAGAAGTAAAAAATATATTGTGAGTCTGCATGTGGTTTTTAAGCTAAATTAAGATTTTGCAGTCTTCTTATCCTTCCTATCTTGTGTTTCATTTAATTGTAAAATCCTTATATGGTGCTGAGCACATTAATTCTCCAGCATGAGACCTCAGGCATTGCCACAGCAGAAAAATGTTACTGAACAGATCCAGTTTCAGTCCAGGCTTGCTCTGCTCTCCCCTTGTAAGACTGAGACCTTCTCTGCAAGTAGGGAAATTTAGAGCTTAGGATCAGTTAATTCAGTTGGGGAAACTGAAAATAATAAATAGGTGCAAGTTAAAACTTTTTAACTGTGTTTTCAGAATCCAGTTTTCCCTTACTTTGAAGGAGATGATTTAAATAAACTTACTCAAGAAGTAGCAAAAGCTAGAAGTTTCTTAAAGCAGGCAAAATCTTGGAGGTGAGTGTTTATCAAGAATCTTTGTATCTATTATTTTGTAGAATGAAGACAAGACTATCTGACTCCCAATGTCTGTTTTATAAAAAATAGATCTTGAGAATTATATAGAATAGGAGTGAAGGACAATTAAATTGAATTGATCCTTAAGTTTTTTCATTCTTACCCTTCCTAACTGCCAGTCCAGAACAAGAAAGCACCAATTCAATAGGAATAGTAGGCAAAAGTTCCTGCAAAGAACTTAAAAATGCATTATACCTCCTCATTGAAAAGTCACCCAAGGACAGAGCTAAGCAAAGACTCCAAGGTGTTCTGTGCCTCTGTGAAAAACTGCTGTAATTCTTTGGGGTTTGTTTTTCTTTCAAACAGATTATTGCTTGAAAAATGGAACACAAACCGAAAAGGCAGCTCTGGCTTCCAAAACAGAGTTCAGGTAAACAGTCACCACATCTACATCATAGTTTATGTATAGCTCATGTATTTCAGGAGGAGGGTAATATTTTATTAAATATATTCATTTCTGGCAATGACTTTTTTCAAAATTGGAAACATTTGTAGTGATTTTATTTCTTAGCTGAGATAGTCCACAGTAAAACCCCATGTAACCAAAGAAGAGTTCAAAGAGAACTGTTGGAGGTGAAAAGAGCAAGGGAGATGTGTATTTGTAGTTATTCATGGTCTAGCAAGCACTTAAGCACATTAGAGTGTTAGAACCAGATGTAATGGTGTAATAACAATTGCTGCATGGGCTGCATGATTTATCTGTTAAGTGAACAAGGCTGAGTGAAAAAGGACCCCCCTAATAGCAAAGACACCCCCAGCAAACCTGGGACTGTCATTACAGAGTGGTGGGCAAACTGAACTTCCCACAGAGCCAACCTGCTGATTTAAATTGGCAAAGTAAAAACCACAGGAAAAGAGAAATGCTGGGTGCAAGTACTTTGTTAGGGTTAAACAAGACAGAAGCATTTGTTACAGAGGTGTCTGAGGAAAAACAATGGACACAGACAACTGCAGAGTTGCACTAGAGAACATTGGCCTCCCAAGATATTCATCAAGGAGTTGGGTAAGGCAGAGACAGAGCAAGACTGGGTTTTTTAAAAACCTTTTTTCTATAGCTGTAGTTTGTATTTTGGTTCAAAAACATTGCCCAGTCATTCAAGTAGGAATAAAAAAAAATCCAGTCTGACCTGCTGGCTAAGAATGCCTGGTTCATGGAGAGTGGAACCTGGAGCCTGGTGTGCAAGAGTGGGTGTGTGTGAGTGTGTCAGAGTGTGCCTGTGTGCAGAACTCAGCATTTAAGGGCTGATCACTACCCAGTGGTGCTTGGAGAGGGAGCAGATATAAAACCATCCTACAGGAGCAAGGAAGTTGTTACAGGCAGAAATAGAGGCTGGTGTTCCACAACAATCTCTGTATCTCAATGTTCCAAATAAAACTGTATTGCTGGTGAAGTGTGTAGGAAAGCACTCCTGTTAAAATTCTCCAGAAAGGGCATAGCACTGTAGCCCCATTAAACATGTAAGTAAGGAAACTTGATTGCTTTCAGCTTCAGTTGTATTGTTTTTCCATTACTATTGTGTCAATGGTGATCTGGAGCCAGTGCATTTTATATATTTTGAGTTGTATTTTTAAAAGTATTCATGTGCTTCACTTGTAGGATTAAATTTTCGATGAAGAAAAGATGCTGAAGAGGTTTGGAATCATACCATTCACCTGCTTCTTTTCAAAGTGTGTTCACATCTTCAAGCAGAAAGAAAGATGATTTTTTTCTTTGTTGTCACAACTGTTGGCAAGACAAGAAGTTGCAGGTGATCAGTGCTGCACTCAACTCCACTTGCAGATTTTTCAGGATTCAAAGTAAATTAAGCCCTGAACTCTACAAAGTTTAAAAATAAGTAGAGAATAGTTTTCAATATAGCTAATAGAAATTTTAAAAGTGTATGTATCAGTAGTGATACAGGATCACAACTTTTATTTCTCTTTTACTGCATTGTATTTATAATCTCTTCAATTAGTTGCTGGTGTGTCTAAATTGTCTTTTTTGTCTGTTGGTTTGAGAATTCTTTGCTGGTGCTTATTATCCCTGACAGATGGGACATATGGCTGTGATGTCAGGAAAGGAATTCTTTATGACAGTTTTGCATAGAAAGTCCAAGAAATAACGTTAGTGCAGAAACCAAAGCCTGTAATTCATGGTTTTATACAGAGAAGTTTTTGCTAATAATTATTTCGACTCTTCACTTTTTGTGTTGGCAATAAAGAAAGATTTAGAGCTGATGGTACAGGAATGATGAGACATGCAAGAAAGTAATACCCTGTTACTGATGTAGTCTGGTTGTGTTTTTATAACCAGACACTGCCTATCTTCTGAGCAATTCTGTTCTTATATATTTCCTGTCTGGAAAGATTAAAAATATATTTGCCAGTATCAGCTGATTTGTGAAATATACTTGTTTTTTACTGATTTCTGGAACGACAGCTCACTGGTATTTTGTAGATGTTCACTGTTGTCTTTTAGAGGGTTAGAAAATCATCTCTTGTGTTTAATATATGTAATATAATAAAAATTGATTCATACTTCAAAATTAAGATACTTGATCTGCATTTATTCAGGAGCTGTTTCCTTCTCTTGTGTGCCACTGGGTTTGCTGTGATATGGGAGATTGTGTCTTTTCTGCCCCTTTACCTCTTTTGTCTCTATTATAAAGAATTTTAAATTATTTCTATCATAAATGTATCTATTTAGTGTTGTATGCTCTGAACCAGGTGACACCTGCCTTCATGTTAGTGCCAGCCTTTACTGGAATGCTGCAGTTAAACTGTGCTTTGTGCTGTGCTTCACTTTCTGTGATTTTTTATGTGGATGTGTGTAACTGCTGAGATGATTTCTCTCAAAAGTTCTCTCCTTTTGTAAGTGTGTTCAGCCTGTGCAGCCAAAGCCTTGTGGTCTCGCAGGCTGGTCCAGCCCTGCTACCTCCTCAGAGCAGCTCCTGCCTTTAAAACACAGATTCCATCTCCTTGCTACCTACCTGGAAACTCCCATCCTGCCTGCTCCCCTCGGGCTGGGGGCTGCTCAGCCAGGAAGGCTCATCCAGGAGATGCCTCAGTGGGGCTGACCTGAGGAATCCTCAGTGACTTCAGTGTCCATCTGTCAGCTCTGAGTCATTTGCTTTCCTGGTCGGTGCTTGCTGGAATGCAACCCACTGTATTCAAGACATAATAAAAGAGGAGTTTTATAATTGACCAAATGCATATTTTTCTGCCAGCTCGTTTGTAAGTCATGTCATTGCTGTGACTCACTGAATATGCTGATTTGTGAGCAATGAATTAAGGACAAATGGCTGAACCAGTTGTTACCTCCATGTGTGTGTGCAGCCCCCTTCAGGAGAGTGCTGCTTTCACAGCAGGACTTGGGAACTTCTGTGTGGAGCAGCTCATGTGCTGCCATAATTTCCAGTTTCCAGCTGCTGAGCTGGGTTAACTGGTGCAGATGTTCATGACCCTTAGCAAGGACTGGCAGTCCAGGAACTCCTTCATGCGTGGTTCAGCCATCACTGCTTCAGGGGACAGCTTCCAGAACAAGGGTGGGACAGCTTGGCAGAGTGACAAATTCCTCCATCCAAATGTGCCTGAATTTGAGTCATCCCCAGCAGTTCATGCTGCTTCAAAGGAAGGTAATGGCAGTGTGTGTTGTGTCCTTTAGAATTCTGTTCAGTAAGAATTTCTCTGTGCCTTATAAGTATGTTGTCAGTATACTGTCAGCATGTATCTAGATTTGTAACTGCAAACTTCCAAGACTTTAGGCACCCAAATATGTTAATACAACTAAGTCACTGGAATGTTCATGGAATCACTTTAATGCATCTAAATCAGATGTATATTTCATTCCATTGAACTTTGGTCCTTTGTGAAACCATCTCAAAAGATGCTTATGAGATATTTGCTTGCTGATTAGTTTAAATAAAGAAGTAAAAGGAAGAGAGAGGAAGAAGGGAAAATGCAACTCCAGAAATTTGCCAGCATCAGAAAATACCCCTTTTCCTCCCTGTCTCTGTTATAACAATGATAATTTAGGTTTGAGGTAGTGAATGTGCTGGCAGAAGGAATTCAAAAGGAGTCTGACAATCTCTGAATCATATCACATGAGAGTTCTTCAGTTAGAATCTTAAATTCTACCCAGAATTTGATAAGTATCTTAGGCAGACCTTGTAAGCCACAAGTTTATCTCCTTTCAGTGACATGGGCTGCCTCTGTCACTGTGGCCACTCTCAATGTGGTACCAAGGCTTTTCTAAATACAGTAAGAATTAGCAAATAACAAACCTGTTGGAATTGGTGTTATAATTTCTTTCAAACATGCATTTGTATAGTTCATTCAACCATTCAACACTTTTGTTGTCTCTATGATTACCATGTGTAGCAAGCCAAGCTGTGATCCCTGCTAACTGTATAGAAATGTGTCTTTGTTCAGTACAATGTAATGCAGTGTTTTTATTTAAGATGCATTTGTATTTCTTCCCTTCAAATATTGCATAAACTGTCCTCTTCTTTAACAAGACCCAAGGGCTGCTACAGGGATGTTCATTGCTGCTGTGAGAAGTTGCTTTGTTTCTTCCTGTAATTCCATCCTGACTTGGCAATGCAGGCTCAGAGTTATCATTTCATTTGACCTGTAAATCAATCTGTGTAACATGCAAAGTAACCACGAATGCAAAGGAAATGAGAACAAAGTCATTTGAAAAGCATTTTATGGGGCACATTCCAAGGCTGTATTTATGTGTGCTTTATTCCTTCATGAGGAAAGTGAAATATGCAGAACTGTAACACAAATACACAAAGAAACAGGAAAAAGGAAGGATAGAGTGAGAATATTTATGTATGTTAATGAAGAATGGAGGGATTTAAGAAGAACCTGATCTCTTAGCTTTGCAGCAAGGATCTGCATCTTCCTTTCCCTTCTGGCCCTGACTGGGAGCATGACATGGGTAAGTTGCTTTGCCTCTGTGTCTTACTCCTCTAACTTAGAAAGGAATGTGAAGAATGTTGTGTTATCATAACAATTTTGGTCTTTTACATTGCATTTGTTGTTGTTGTACAATATTGTGTTGGTAAACTTTCTTAAGGATGACTTCATGCCTTAGAAATGTTTGATATGTACCAATGTTTAGCATTTGGTTATATGGAAAATATTCTGAAGTTTCCCAAATTCAGATCCCATGATTAATCTTTTTGACTAAAAATTCTAAGCACAGCTAGACATAATTAGAGGGAAGCTCTATTTTTCTCTTCCATTAACATTGCAAGACCTGATTTAAATGGTTTTTAACATTTTCTCTCCTCTCTAACATAAAGGGTGAATATCTTGCTGTAGTCACTTCCCTTCTCTCATCTCTCTGCTGTTTTAGACCTCCTTGTTATGAGGGTGGTTGTTTTTGTAGTCACAAAGAGATAAGTTCTCTTAGTAAGTTAAGTTCTCAAAAATACTTACACCCTGCAACAGCTCTGCCCAGACTGCTCTGGGGCTGCAGAGGGAATCAGCACTCTGAGCCCTGTCCAAACAAGTCTCACCACTCTGAGTTCACAGGCTGTGTCAGTGCCTCTGATGGGCATCTGCATGTGAGCAAGTGCACGAGCAGGTGCTCAGACACACAGCAAGCTTGGACAACTCTACTAATTTAGGGCTTAGATGCAGAAATTTTTAATAAGTTAGCTGAAGAGAGGGTATTTTTGTATGGCAGGTATTTCAGCAAAACCCTTGAGTAGGATTAAGAGAGAGCTTAGTCTCTTCTGATTTTCTGCTATTTCTCTGCCCTTGGGCACTCCAGAACATCCCCTCCTGCCTGTGACTCACACCAAATATCTGGCTGTCATCTTAGCTCACGCCTCTGTCAAGCCCTTCATGCTCTGGTTATTCTGTTAAAGGCTCCTTTCTGCATAAGATCTTCCACACTTGAAAACCATTCTTCAGGTTACCCCAGAGCTGGAGCACAGCTCCGGTTCTGTGGTCTGGGAGTGCAGAGCTGTGAAGTTCACAGGACCTGCCAGTGACCAGGACATGGACCTGGTCCCACACTTCTGCCTTCTGGGCCATGGTATGAAACCCTCTGGGGCCAGCACCCAGCAGTGTCCAGAACCAGCCCAGGGACCAGCCTTTGTATGCTGGGGACAGAGATTGTCTTGTCTGTCTTATGCCAAATGCTCCTTGCTCAATTCAGGCTTGCTCTAGCAGCATGTGATTTGAAATGAACTTGTGCAAGTGTCCTGGGTTCCTCTATGAATCAGTGCAATTACATTTCTGTTGTGGTAACAAGATTCTTCACATTTCAACATCGCTTTACAGTCTGGATGTCAGTAACATTTTGATAAGCCAAACATTTCAGAAATGTGGACCTCCTCCATTGAAATAAATGGACAAACTCCCTGATGCCTTCCTGTTGTGTTTTGTAGTCATCTACCATAAGTACTGGATGTTTTGTTTGTTTCTATGTGGCTACATGAACTATCAATGGTCATAGGAGAAAAAGTAGAAAAGGCAGTATAGAGTTGTGATTCAAGACCAAAAGCGAGCTCCAATCCTAATGCAGCAGTTTTCTCCTTGTGACTTTAGCTTCTGTTTCTTTCAGAAATACTTAGCAGGATGCATTGAATAAAATATGACCATCCTTCTTTACTAAAGGTAAGAGAATAAGCATAACAGGACAGGTACAAAATACCAATTCTGAAAACTCCTCTGAGGTGCCCCCTCCTTGCCAAGGTGGAAACCAAAGCCAAGTTAAAATGCTCTTTGTTAAATTTCACTGAAGAGTGAGGGATTGATATCCTTTGGATAAGTTGACAAACTGCTTTGACTTGGGAAGGAGCTCTGGAATAGTTCAGGGATAGAACAGGCACTTTATTTCTTGCATTAAATGGTAAAAGCTGTCAGGGCTGTGGACAGCTCAAAACAGACAGTTTGGTGTTCTTGGGGATTTTCCTGTCAGCTGAGCTTGTCACTCACTCAGCAGTCCAAGAAGTGCAGATTAATTTGACAGGTTCAATATTCTGGTTCTAATGCCAATGATAGGGACTTCAGAACATACACGTCATGTCAAAATACATTTGCCTAGGTGTCAGTTTGAGTTCTTGTCAGCACATGAACATTAAATTACATTAAATTACATTTAAATTGCAACTGGTTACCTATGCACTTGAGATATTTCCAATATGAAAACACTGAAAATTGTAGTAATTTATATTTAGATGTGGGAGTGTTTCTTTAGCATCTTAACTACTGTTTTGAGACTTAATTTCAGACACACCCATTTAAAAATGTTGGCTTTGATTTCTCATTGTTTAACTCGCAAAAGCATATGTTTTAAAAGTGCTTAAAATCTTAGGACAGAGCACATCTATAATTATTAATAATTTCATGGATTCATCATTCATTTAAAATGCATTATTTAACAGTACCTCACCTTTTCCTGTTCTGTTATGTACAAGGTATTTTTTACCTTCATACTCATCTTGGAAGCCAGAGAACAACCCATGTGCTTACAGTTAAGCCTCTCTGCAAATACAAAATTGGGTTGGGGATGGAGATATAAAAGTCAGAATGAAAGTGCTGAGTAGCACTGCCAAACAGGACTTTTGTTCCTTCTCTAGCAGCTTATCTACAGAATGATGGTACCAATGGTTTATTTGTGTTGTGTAGTGTCTTTTACCAGGTAAGTGAGAGCTACCATCCTGTTAATGGTCTGATGTGGAGAATTTTTAATTTTTTTCCTGAAAAGGAACGTAATTATGTACCAATTAAGCCCTGCCCTTTTTTGGCTCCCAGCCAAGCACCAGCTACAAAGGAGCGGGAAGAGCAAAAGGCCTGAGCACACGGGAACTCCTCTGTCTGCCTGAGAGCACCCGATGCCCCTGAGTCACGAATTGTCCAGCACAGAGACATCTCACCCTCCCACCTGCACAGGAAGGCCTGGGAGAGCTCTGACAGCAGGATTCCACCAAGGGTACTTACTACTTCTTTAGCTGTTTTTAACAACCTGATGTGTTTGACTGGAACTTTTTATGGGAAGTAATTTAAGGGGAGCTAAGAGCAACTCACACCACATGTGCTGCATGAGATGTGACTATGCTCATCATGCAGAATACATTAATCAATAAGAATAGCTCCTATAAATTCAGAGAACAAAGAAAGGTACTGCTTCTGAAAAGAAGCATTTTCAAAAAGAAAATTACTTATGTTCA